TATCAAACAATAGCCTATCGTCATACCTAATATTATTAATTAATCTAAATGCTCATTTTCACATTTAGTCTTTTCCTCTCTCTCTCTCAATCTCCCTCTCTCTTCTCCATTTTTTTATTTTCATTTGCTGTAATAATATTTAAATAGGATCTCTATGTAAAAATATTTGAGAGGGAGAGAAGGTCCGATTTATGGATGCTCTCACAAATAATTTCTTCTTTCGAATTTGCAATTTCCTGCTCATTTATTAATTACTGATAAGTTTCGAATATGTTTAAAAAAAACACAAAGATTATTTCTCTCTATTTTTTGAGATTAGCCAACAGCTGACAAACTGACTGCTCGCCCGCCTGCCTGCCTGTCTATCTTTTGACGACAAGCAGGAGTATGGTAGTGAGCGAGTGAGTGACTCTGCTTCTTAGTTGTCGCGTCCCCATAATTATTTCGAGATTGTTGTATTTGCCCCCTAAAGATACCCTGTCTGATATTGGCAATGTATGATTGTTGTTGCTGTTGTTATAATTATATTTTGTTGCTATTTGTTGTTGTTATTTCTCATGTTCGAATACATTTTTGTTTTTTGCTAAAAATTCATTTAGTTTTGAATTTGTCGAGGTGCTGTTAAAAACGGCTCGTTTTTGTCGTTACGCTTTCTTGCTTTCTTTCGATATTGTGTTGTGTGTGTTAATTTCCAAATTTTATTTGAAAATAAGAAAATATTAAATATTTTGAATTGAATTGGCCTGCGCGTTACCTTTAATTATCGATCGTCATCGTTTGCTCATCATTGTCTTGTGGGCCATTTAATATTTAATTATAATTTTTTTGTTAAATATATATTTTTTATAAATTTGTAATTTAGATACGACAAAGTTCCGTTTTTATTTTATTTTGTGTTAAACGAATATTTGTGGATTGTTTTTCATTAAACGGAAATCAGAAAAATATTCAAGTAGTGTTTTTTTTCTTAGCTTCTTTTCAACACAGCAAATAATTACGATATCGATTTTAATTTACAACGAACAAAATATTCTCCCCTTCATCCACTCTACTCTCCAACGAAACGAAAAAACAATTTTGAAAATTAAAAAAAAGTGAAAAATAAAACCAGCCTTTGTATAAAGTCAAGGTGGGCACACATTACAGCATTGTGTTATTTATTTATTTTTTTTAAACAATATATAAAAACAAAACCAGTGTTTTGAAAAAGAAATTTGCAATATCTTTTTTTTTAATATACACACACATTCATATAAAAATACCTTAAATATTATTAATGACTTTTGACGTGATGTGCAATTTACATGTTTTTTTGCGAAATGTTTGGCTTTCTGTTTATATATATTCTATACATATGCAGAGTATATATGTAATTAATAATCAACAGAAGAAAAAACTATTTAAAAATGACAAAAGATAAATATTATTCAAATTCAAAGCATTTGTGTTTTTGTATACATTTGTTTTTTTTACAAAAAATGTTAATGATTTATTTGTGTTTCTTCCTAATTTCGATTCAAAATAAATAATAATAATTATGTAAAAATTTTGAAATGGGTATTTCCGATGCTTCTATTTTCCGAGAGAAATGTTATGTAGTGTTGAAAAATTATACACAATTGTCTTTTGTCATGCTAAGTTCAAAGATTGGGCTATATCGGTATACGATTTAGCCCTCATGTAATTTCTAAGGAAAAAAGAAAAGCTTTAACGATAGTTTTTGATATTTGTTATTTTGATTGTTTCGAACAAGTTTTATAGCCATCTTTGTTGACAAATCTCCGTTAAAAATATAATAATTTACACCATTTAATGATGCCCTGAAATTGTCGGTATGTTTGTTCTTGGCCTTTTTTTTTGTATCAACAGAATTGGAATTGAAAAATATTAACTTACATATTTTTGGATTCTATTTTCATACCAAAAATTTTCAATATTATTTAACGGCGTCCAAATGTACCACCAATTTCAGTATTTTAGGCTTTTGGGATAAGACGATGTGTGCCAACTATAGAGGAATTAGTATCCTTCCCCTCGCATTTAAACTGATATCCAACATGATGTGTGAACGACTGAAAACAATGGTTAATGTCATTATTGGACCATAACAATACGGCTTCAGACCTGGCAAATCCAGCATAGACCAGATTTTCACAATGCACCAAATTTTGGAAAAGACCCACGAAAAACACATCGATACATTTCACCTATTCGTCAACTATAAAGCCACATTCGACAATCCAATCCACCCAGAAGTATTTAAAGCCGCCATGTCTGCGTTCGGCATTCCTACACAATAAATATGGCCATGCAGTACAACTTTAAGTGGCACAATGTCAGCAGTTAAAATCGGAAAGGTCCTCTCGGAACCCTTCAATACCGAACGAGGATTCAGACAAGCTGATAGTTTGTCGTCTGATCTGCTTAACATCCAGCTAGAAAAGGTCATACGAAACGCAAAGGTGAACAGAAATTGCACTCTGTACACCAAACAGCATATTGTTGTTGTAGCAGTCCTCTTGCTTCTACACAATGGGCTGAGAAGACAGGCGTTGACCGAGTTTGACTCGAGTCGTTTAGGATCATGTGTTACTCGCCGTCGACATCGACATAATGGGTCTAACATTGCGAGCGGTAACAGTCAGCTTTGAACGAATTGAGAAGGAGTCTACCAAAGTGGGTCTGGCAGTAAATGGCGAGAAGGCCAAGCTGATGGTATCAACGCGCAAAACGTCCAGTAGACTCATACCAACTGAGAAACTTGAAATACGGAGAAGAATAGTGTTGGCCAACAGATGCTACAATGGTCTGAGTAAGCAATTAAAAAACCAGGCCACCTCTCGCCAGACCAATCTCACACTCTTCAAGACGCTAATACTACCCGTGCTGTTGTATGAATCTGAAAATCCAAAAAATCTATGGGACGATCAGCGTCAGACGGTGAATATCGTCGTCTAATGAACCATGAGTTGTACTATCTATTCTTGGACATAGATATCGTCAGACGTATCGAACTGCAACGACTATGTTGGTCGTTGACGGTGAATATAGTCGTACCTTGAGTTGTACTATCTATTCTTGGACGTCGACATCGCTAGACGTATCGAACTGCAACGACTATGTTGGTTAGGCTATGTGGGGAGAATAGATGAGGATGTCATATAAAAACGAGCTCACGCAGAAGGGGAAGGCCACGAATCCGATCGAAAGATCAAGTGGAAGACAACGTATCGGAACATGGTCTTTCAAATTAGAAGAGCTGGGCACAAAACCGACCCGCCTGTATATTTTTTTATGACACCGACCGAATATGCAGCTCATGGACAGGGGCAAACAATTCTACTGTAATTCTATAATTCTGAAATAGGTTAAAAAATAGAAACAATATCCTTAAAAACTTTTGCTAGTGGCGTTTACTAGAAGTATTTAAAAATGATTCTGCAACATGGTGGTCCATCATGTTGCCGTTGGCTGAGTAGACGTCATTAGAGCAATGTGGCCTCATTGCTGAACTTTTTAGGGTCATCCTAATCGTAGTATAACATAGTGTGTGAAGAAGTATTGGCGGATGTAGTAGTTCAAAAAGATAGCATCTCTACATTAGCAAGTCTATCAAACAGGTTTATGTAGGAAATATTTGATGTTACAAACCGAAAAAGCGTAGCACCTTATTGGGAACCAGATATGTTTTCCCAACTGGGTGTAATTTGATACGTTGAGTTCAAATTAGGTACCAAATCGTCCAACCAAAAATTAATTTTACTCCAATTTTTTGAGTAGCCCGCCATATTACGAACTGTACCCCAAATTTTCAGTATATTGGGTTTTTAAGCAACCGAGCATATTTGATTCATAACTCCTTGTGTATATTAAATAGTTAACTGATTTGTTTCGTGTGTTGGTTTTGTCCCCACAGCAGTCTAAAGGACTTTAATAATAGCACAGAATTTCTATACTCTCTTTCGTTTCTAGATCGTATATCCCTTTATTGGATATGTGTGGTGACCAGCACTAAATCAATCCTCTTTTAAACATAAATTAACCCATGAATACCATTCTACACCTAGAATGCCCATGCATTTATTTTTTTTAGTGGGAATTCATGGTATATATAATAGAAGGTAACAGCAAGTGTTGTACAAAAAAAACGATAAAACAACCACATGGAAATTTGTTGTTGTAAGTTCTACTAGTGTCAACTCATTTGACAGAAAAATGTAAACAAACAAACAAATTATAATCAAATTATTTTTATTTTGAAAATGAAACATTTTTGAATCCTCAGATCAAAAATTGAAAAACATGAATGAAAATCTATCAAATTTATATTTCTATCGCTTCCACATCTTTCCTATAATTGAGCCATTGCCATATATATGTGTAGCACATATGAAAATGCTGGGAATAGCGAGTTGTTCCTTGCAGAAAGATTTGCTTCCTCAAACTTTCCCAGCAGGCAGATTGAGTAAATTAAATACGGTTGGACATTTAATAAAGAACAATTTCGAATTGAATGCATTCCCAATTTTCCTGTTGGGTGATTTTTAAAAACATAATTTGTCAAATTCATATTGACACTAGTATTACGTTGGAATCAAATCAGCTGGGATTTGCTGTTACCTTTTATAATTGTACCATGGTGGGAATTGTTTGTTAATTAAAATACCCTTTCAGAAAGCATCAGCTCTCCACCTCAGAACCATACCATCAAATTTATATTAAGAAAACAGAATTATATTCTACATCTTTATTTACATAAATTACACTTTGTTATATTAACTACATGACTAATACACATATTTTTTTTTAATTTAAAAATATGCTATGAATTTTTCATTCACTTTTACATTTTGTTTTCTTTCAAATTGGTATTAAATATATTAAAGCTTATTTTTTAAAAAAGATATAATAATAATAATGACCATTATTAACTTGTACATGCAAATTGTTTGTGTGTGTGTGAAGGAAATAACTTCCTTAGATTTCAATTGAATATCCTCCTAATTTTCCATTTCCAATGCTGGCATATAAAATGGCAATGCATCCAAAATATTACAATTCGCCGGCGATTTATTCTCCTGCACATCGAAACACAACGAATGACGTGGTGAGGTCATCATCTGTCGTACATTAAATGTGATATCTTCAAAATTTGAACGTTCACTGGGTTCCAAAGTCCAACAATTCAACAACATTTGATAGAGATCTTGATAGACAAACGATGGTTGAGCTGGGCGTGAACCACTTTTCAGAGCATCCAAGATTTTATTCGAGCTATTTATTTGTGGATATGGAGTTGCGCCCAATGAACAACATTCCCAGGCCACTATGGCAAAGGACCAAACATCCGATTTGGTTGAGTAGTGTTGATAGCGTAGAACTTCTGGTGCCAGCCAGCGGGTTTGATCAACTTTCTTTTGATTTTGTACATAGGGAGTGGGTCCAAAGACGGATACTTTCAATTTCATCTCAGCTGTAACATAAATACAATGGGAACACAAATGTTTGTGTACCACCTTCGATTTGGCGAGATATTCCATGGCATTGGCTATTTCATATATCCATTCCAATATCATTTGTTCAGATAACGAAGTTATACGTTGTACGGGTGCTGAATTGGGGGCTCGACGACTTTCAATTAGACGACGTTTCAATGTCACATTTTGATGTTCAAACACAAAATAGAACCAATCGGTACTGGCCGATACTCCATAGAAATCTAAAATGTTGGTATGCTGCTGCAATTTGATGAGGTTACGAAATTCCTGCAACAACTTCCCTTGATCGGTACTGGTTAGCTCATCCAAAGAGAGAACATGTAGCTGACACTCGGCCGTCGATTCGGGTAAATTATTTTGTAACAATTTCCCAGTAATGACATCTCCATAATTCCCCACCGCCACAATATCATTGACATTTAAACGCAAATTATTGCGCGGAATTCTTTTGGTGGTCTCCAAACGATCTACCAAACCATTTAGTTGTTCTTTAAAATTCTCTGTCGTATGTGGTACATCATCTTCGACAACAAACCCATTATTTTCACGATCTATAATCGGTTGTTGCATTGTCATTTCGTGGGAATTACCACCTCGAAGCGCCCGTAATTGACATGTTTTATAACGTAAATAAAAATACGTTATAACGGAAAGGATAAAACATACACCGAAAACAGAACAGGTTACAATCAGCGCTACCACGGAATTGGATCCCGATTCAAAGGTGGAATATGTAAAATTATCCATTGAACTGACATGTTGTTCGTGGGTACTGCGTGCGTACAGGATTTTCGTTATGTTGTTCAGCGTGCTTACCTGGAAGAGAGAGAGAGAGAGAGAGAGAAAAAAGGAGCAGAAATTAGAACAAAAATGAAAGTTAATTCAATAATATTTAATGTTCTGAAATAAATTATAAACTAAATACTATTTTTATATTTTTTAGACCTGCGAGGCCTATTCTAAGGAATGCGGTGCTTGTGTGAAAGCATTTCCAACATGGACCAATTTTATGAACCTTTTTCACCTTAATCGGACTCCGGCATATCATAGGGCTAAGACAAAAGAGACACTGGTCGGGAAGATATATTGGAAACCATTCTACTATTGTCAGAGATATGTCGACCAAGACCCTTACAAAATCAGCTACAATGAATTTCTTCTGCTTAAGAAACACCTAAACATCGTGAGGAAGTTCGGATGTGACTACACTAAAAAGTCCCCTAGGGAATAACATTCCAACTATAAAGCAAATTTATGAACCTTTTTAGTTTTCACATTAACTCCAGCACCAAGTAGAACTAAGTCAATAGAGGCGTAAGACAGGAAGATATATCGGAGTACAATTATTGCTAGATATATGAAGGCTTATCGTAGTTTAATCTGCTATTGTCAAAAATATGTCGACCAAGACCCTAACAATATCAGCGAAAAGGTATTTATTCTGCTTAGGAAACACCTAACGATCGTGAAGAAGTATGCATCTCAAAAAATTTGCTATACACAACTCTAAAGAGCTCCTTTTTATCTATACGCACATCAAAAGAGTTCATCCATATCAAAACGAACATCTATAGAGCTCCTTCATACTTATACGGACTTCAATCGAGTTATTCCATAAATTTATAGAAACATGTAGAGCTGCTAACGTACGCATAGGGACCTGAGAAGAGTTCCTCTTTACTTATAAGGACCTATAGAAACTTCTAAAGAGCTACTGCTTATCTATATAGACATCTATGGAGCTCCTCCTTACATGTACCGACCTCTCTAAAGCTCCACCTTACCTATACGAACCTTCTTTGAGCTCCTAACGTACGCATAGAGGCCTGAAAATAGCTCCTCTTTACCTATGGGGACCTATACAGACCTTTATAGATATCCCGAAAAGTGTTCCTCTTTTATAATAATAACCTATAGAGCTCCTCCTTACCTATATGGACCTTCATAGAGCTCCTAACGTACATATAGGGAAAAGAGCTCCTCTTTACCTATACAGACCTCTATAGATATCCTGTTTATCTATAAGACATCTATAAAGCTCATTCTTACATGTACCGACCTCTATGAATCTCAACCTTACCTATAAGGACAATAATTTTTTTAGAGGTCCGTATAGGTATTAGCGAGCCTTAGCTAATACCTATACGGACCTCTACAAAAATTCTCCTTACCTATGCAGACCTCTATAAACCTCATATTTTTCTATAATAACCTCTTCCTAACTGATGCGAACGGTATTAGTCTCATTTGCCCCCTATGGGTAACCAAGAGTACTTTTTTCTTTTTGTAACATAATCTAATACTAATTGAGGTGCCAAGGCATGAACTATGATCTGTTCAAATACAGTCGGTATCCAGATGGACATGATGTCGCGTAAACCCCCAACGTTTGGGGGTCATTCATCTATCATGGAACTAATTTAGGGGGACTATATTTGTCTCATCAGTCCAAGGATCACTGGCACTCGGTCTTCATTTAGACCCGCTCACAGGCCAAGGATGCTTATTGCATTGGCAGCTATCCTGATTCGCAATATTGAAATCCATATTACTTAGCTTGTACCGTACACTTTGATACGGAAAAATATGCCTCGTCTAAATATTGTTTTTAGACTCGAAATCCTTTTCAGACAATTTAGAGTCGATTCACAAATGTCCGTCTGTCTGGCTGGTGCGCACGTTTACTCTCGAAGGCATTTCATCAAAACTTTGCACAGCGTAATGTTTCTTCCAAATTTAAATTAAGTTAAAAGATGGGGAATGTCGATCCACTCCTTCTGGTAATACAACGAATGTTGTATTTCGTAGACCTCCAAAAAATCTTAGACTGAGGATATATTTCTGTCGACAAAACCGCCTGGCACTTTTTTCTATATCCAAATATTTAACACTTAAAATTATTAACTAGGATATTTTTGTTTAACTTACCACAGCCAAACTAATATGAACATCCGAATTTTTATTATCCAACGGTGGATTTGTATATCTTCCATAGCGTTTGCCATCACCGACAATGAATTTCCTCGTTTTATTATCACCCGGACGATCATAATCCAATTCGGCAGCAATATAATATGGCAGCCCGTTCTCTTCGGCCTCCGTATAGCTACCGAGCAGAGCACTGTCAAACGGTTGGGTTATTGCATCATCGACATGTTCAACAATTACCAACACTTTGGTGACGGGACCATTATTATTGCGAACGGGTTTTATTTGTATGGTGATGGTTTTATCGGTGCTCGTCAAGACTTTTGGTGGTGGTGGCATAGGACTTGGCTCACCAATTAACGTTGTGCCCTCCACCATGGATGAACCACATTTCGATGCACCCTGAGTATTACTTTCGCATAGCGATTGAACGGTTATTTGATAGTGCGTTGCTGGATGTAAATCGGTTATTTCAAATTTTGTTTCATTACCCTGGACAATGAATTCGGGTTGGGGGAAAAAGGGTTGCATGGAGTAGGTGTGAAGACGTTCCGTTTTGATCATGTAGTTGGTGATGCGAATCATTGGTGTGGACTCTACACCGGATATGAAATGTTTCATTGGGTTGTGTGGTAGCCAGGAGATGGTTAGGCTGTTCTCGGTGGCATTAATGACTTGTAATTCTTTGGCTGCAGCACTTTTGGCCACTTCGGTGGAATAATAACTGTGTACCCCAGCTCCGCCACAATATTCGGATTTGCTGGCTATGCAACGTGTGGAACACAGCAGATCATCTTGTTTTTCCTCGGGGACAACGGTGTGGGTACAGTAACACTTATCATCGGACAGGGCAGCAAAGCTGTAATCCTTAACTTCACAAATCTCGACACACACTTGGGGTACTTTGCTGAACAATTGTTCTTGGGTTAAATCCAAACGGGCGGTATAGCAACCCAAATAGTAGTAGGGGGTCTCTTCAATACCACCTTGAGCTGTCGCGGAGTTTTTGCGTTGCTGCGGAGTCACAATGAAGAAGACGAAGAAGAAAAATAAAATTTTTAACGTTTCTAAAGTCGATTTAGGGCGGTGGCCAGGTGTTGTTATTCGTCGATGTTTTTTTCTTATGGGATCGTCAACGGCAATACGTTGTTGTTGCTGCCGAACCGCCATGGCTTAACAATTTAACTCTGCAAAATATGAATGAATGAAAAATGTTTTCAAAGCTTAGGTTGTGGGTGATTCTTCTACAAATTACCTTTAGTTGTTGTTGCTGTGTTTTTTTTTTCTATTCGTTTCAATTAATTATGTTGGTTGTTGTAATTGTTGTTGTTTTTCTTTTTTTGACATAATGCACTTTTATTTTTTTTCAATAGATTGTTTGCTTTGTAGCGTGGTTGTTGTTGCCATTACTACTACTAAAATCACTGGTTTAATTATTATTTGTTGTTGTTTTTTGTTTTTCAATTTTCCAAAACCACACTAAAGATCATCATCCTCAGTTGAACCACCACAGGCAGCACACGACACAATTCCGTTCGTTCGTTCCATTCAACATTTAGTGGCGGCCGCGCTATACATTTTCACTTTGGAAACAAATGAAGAACCAATTTTTCTTTTTTTTTCAAATTCTCCAGAATTATTTTTTACTCTTCATTGGTATGACAACAACGACTGTTTGACAGACCACAACCACCACCACCACCATTAATGGCAGTCACTAGTATTTCTAAAAAATTAAAAAAAACGCTATACATTCTCACTCACAGCTCATAATTGATTTAAAGCTTAGCTTCAGATGGATCGGCGGCGACGACGGATACATACCATGTTAATGTGCATGTCTCCCAGTTAAATAACTACTCATTGAGCTCTTTGAGTATAAAAGTTATTTTTATTCTCTCATGGGGCAGATCATCTTGACACTATTCTCACACACCGAGGGTACTTTTATTTAATCTGAAATGAGTCATATGGTTTGGGACCCGTTTAATACCACAGGCTAAAACGGAACAACAACTGTGTTAACTGTTTTATTTGACGTTCTTTGGTATGTCGTCATCTCTGTTTTTCTCCCTTCTTCTCTCTCACTCTCTGTACTGCATTAACTCTATTGTTAGCCATGGCTTAAACTGACACCATTCTCTTAACGTAATTTTTGCTTTGTTACCTGTTTCTTTGTGGCTTAAATAATAGTGTTGGAAAGCGTTTTAAAGTGGAAATATGGCTAAATGTAGACAGCTAATTCGGTTCTCCGGTTCAATATGAAAAAAACTGCACATCATAAAAAATTATAATAATTTTCTATTTTTCCCACGATAGCAGCAGAGGAGAAGGATCGACTGTCTAGACATAAACGAGTAGTGTTAGCACACAGCTAAGATCTGGATGATGCAGACGCCTCAATTGCTATTGGGCACAAATTGATGGGTCGGTACCAAAAACAAGTGATGGGTCGGTGGACCAATAACCCACCGTGCGTTGAGGCTATTCCACATGCCCAATATCGTAAGATGTTGGTGGCCACTTTTGCTTGTTATCCCCGTTCAGCAATTGTTTCCTTGTAGAGAGCCTGCAAATATTAGTACTAATGGTAGCAGCTTTCGCTATGAAGCTGGGCAGAGGCAATAGTCTGCGAGTGACCAGTCACAAACAGTTTGGAGTCAATTTCCATATGTCAGATCTGGATGATACAACCGCAGCAATTTCCTAAAGGGCACTAATTATTGTCTCCATACATATTCATATTATTCACATATTCAGCATATGGACTAGGATCATACCACACGTTGCGCCTATTCCACATGCCCAATGTCGTAAGATATTGGTGGTCACTTTTCCTTTTAATTCCCGTTCAGCCAATGTTCCATTGTATAGAGCCTGCAAATTAGTTCTATCGGTAGCAGCTTTGGGTATGAAGCTGGACAGAGGCTATAGTATGTGGGTGACCAGTCACGAACTGTTCTAGGTTCTGAAAAAAGCTTCGGCTATGAACCTCCCGGAAAATTTCGGTAACACATGTGCCTAGATTTGAGGATCTAGCCATGGATATAACAGTAGGTGATGAGCATCGTGCTGGATTTGGTTTATAACCAAATCGGGGGTAGAATTTCTGCCCTGTGCGGAGTTGCATCAAAAACAGGTGCATGACACATAAAAAAAGACAGGTTTGGTTCAAAACGGACATTCCATTCGCCTTATTGTATTTATAAATATTGAAAAAGAATACCATTTTGTGGAGGATGTACAAGATGGAGTGGACCCTGGGTCCCATCCTCGGACTTGATCTAGGTTTGTTTAAGATAAAAGGTGGTACAAGATTTGGTTCAAATCGGATATTCCATTCGCCAGATATTGGATTTATAAATGTTGCATATTTTGACCCTTTGTGGGGGAGTACCAGAAGGAGGGGACCAATCACGTCCAAATACTTGTATTCAATTGGTATATGAACTTTGGTGTGACAATCCATCCTATGTAATGACTGGAGGGGTACAAAGCTGACTGAAAAATGATAGATTTGTCCCACGTGGATAATCGGAGATTACCACAACTCACAGACTGTGCATCATAGTGGCACAAAATCTGACAAATGACGTTAGCTGGCAGCTCGACAGTTCTCTTGTATCAGATCGATCATTGAAACACCATCGTTTCCGATTATAAAACACCAAAATTTTTTAACATCTAAACGCCATCCTTTTCCGAGCCATTTTTAATCTGATGGACAAGGCTTCGGGGCATTTCTGGTTGCAACCTGTAGGAATTTGTATACAGAGGTGGCAGTAGCAAAAAATTATTGTTATATCATTTCACACTGTGTCTTTTCTACTAATCCGGTTCTACTTCTAACTTCAGGTTCAAAAAGGAGACAAACTACCATTACCGATTGAGTCCATAATAAAGAAATTGAAGAGAACCCGAGTATAATAAGGACCATGATAAATAATTTGCCAGAATTCAAACGAGGGAACCGTAATCTCTATCTCAGTTGCTCTAAAAATAATCTAGCTATTAATTTGGCACAGCTCATTTATTGTGTTGAAGAACGAACCCTATTGAAATTTCTGAAAATATGTTCAGATTTAGATATAGCTCCCACATAAAACGTTAAGGTTTGTCCTATAGAGAAGACATTTGATATAACGTAAGTTTCATTAAAATCGGATAAAATTTAGATATATCTCCCATTTATATTTTGGTCCGATATTATGTAAATGGTCTACTAAAGTTCCAAGGTTTTTCCTATTGAGACAACATTTTGCATATGGTATTGAATTGGGTGTAGAATTATGTGTGTTAAATTTTATAGAAATCGGTTCAGATTTAGATATAGCTTCCATATATAATTTCGTACGATTTTATATAGCTCCCATTTACATTTTCGTCCGATTTTATGTAAACGGTGCACCAATCTCCCAAGGTTTGACCGATTGTGACGAAATGAACAATGAAGAATATTAAGTTTCATTTAATTCGGTACAGATTTATATATAGATCCTATATATTTTCAAAAGTGGTCAAGGTTAACATATATTCGGCCCCGTCCGACTATTGGACTTATTTGCTGTTTTTTAATATTAAAATTTTAGTACCAGCCGTATATCCAAAACTCAATTCAATCTGTTGACACCATTTTAATAACAGGTCAACTACTTTCTAGAATGACTTTTTTCGTACAAATTCCCACTTGCAAATTCAATTTTTAGATAAAGCCTGATTTAAGGTAATAAAATTTATAACACCTTCAATTACTTAATCCTAGTTTTAAAAGATCTACTTATATATACGGACGAAGTTGCACCCAAATTTTTATTTTTTTCATTGTTAAATCCTGAGTCATAAACAAGTATCGATCGATCGATTGCATTTTGTAGTAAATAATTAATTGCTTTACAATGTTTCCATTACACTCTATCGCTCTCTCCCACTCTCTGACATTCTCAATTTTTTTAATTAAGGTAAAACAAGTTATTGTTACTCATTGCAATTCCACTACTACCGGCCTTGCAACTGAGATTTGAGAAAGACAATGATCGTATACAAATATCGTAATATATGCTCCACGATCTCTACTTCGACCACGTTGACTTTTGTTTTGTTTGTTTCTGTTTTTTGTTATTGTTTTAATTATAATATTCCAGCGATAGCTGACGTGTTGTCACTGACTGGCAGTACAGGGATGGGAATGTTAAATTACTTCCGATTTTTGTTTGTGAAATAACCTCTTGAGCAAATAACTGAAATTTGAAAGAAATAAACTGATTTCTTGTTAATATCATCATCGATTAAAGTTAGAAATATTAGCAAAGTTGAATAAAAGATTTCCTATGGAAACCTTATTTCAGCCGGGCTGAATTGCAAATTTCCTATGGAAACATCAAATCAGCTGGGCTGGATTGTAGATTTCCCTGGGCTGAATTTAATCAGCTGGGCTGGAAACCTTAATTCAGCTAGGCTGAATTGCAGATTTCCTATGGAAAACTTAATTCAGCCGGGCTAAATTGAAGATTTCCTATGGAATCCTTAATTCAGTCGGGCTGAATTAAAGATTTCCTAGGGAACCCGTAATTCAGCTTGATTGAATTGCAGAATTCATATCAAAACCTTTATTCAGCTGGGCTGAATTTAAGATTTTCCATGGAAACCTTACAAAATTTAGCATAGCGTATTGTTTTGAGCCTAGAATGACATATGTAGAGTTTTGTTGAAAACCGTTCAGATTTGGATATAGCTCCCATATATATTTTCGTCCGATTTTATGGAAAAGGGCACTAAAGCCCCAAGATAAGTTCGATTGAGACAACATTTTGCATAGCGTACTGAATTGAGTCTAGAACGTCGTGTGTTAAATATCGTTAAAATCGGTTCAGATTTGGATATAGCTTCCATATATATTTTCGTTCGATATTAAGAAAATGGTACACCAAAGTCTTATTACTTGTCCGATTGAAACGCAAATTGGGAATACCATACTGTATTGAGTCTATATTGATGTGTGTTAAGTTGCATGAAGATCGGTTCAGATATTCATATATTTTCGTCCGATTTTATGAAATAATCAGAATTTTATCTCTTGTAAACATCCAATTGGTGAAGGTTTCATAGAGTCAGCCCCGTCCGACTTATCAAAATTCCTTTTTGTTTTATATTTTTTTGTTATTGTACGAATCGAACATTCCCATCTCTGGCACATACCCAACTGTTGCATCGAACAAGTGTATCTCAATCTAAATACGACACTTATTGCTTACCGACTATTTAGTATTGAATCTCTCTCGCAACGGAACGAATGTGTGTATCTGGCTAACTGAGATTTATTTTCGAAAATAAAACCCTAAAACCCTTGGGTGCATAATAACGCGGACCTGAAGACCAGATTTGTGTAACATTTGTTTTACATACTTCTTCGTTTTTTAACCGTTTGTGTATGTGTTGAATTGTGTTACAAATTAATATACGTAGCTACTACTACTCCACCTCCATTACACATATATAGAGAGGTAGACCAGACAAACATTCTTTTGTTCGTTCACTGGACAAAAGCAGAAGAAGAATGGTGGACGGACTTTGACTAATAAATCAAAATCGAGTGTGTGGTTTAGATTTGTGGGTTTATTTTTCAACGTAAATGCAAGTCAAGTTTTGAAGAATGTAAAAAATAATGTAAAGAATTTTCAAAAAATTGTGATCGTGTTCAGAATATGTGGCATGAAATAAAGACAAAGAAATAAAATAACTGAAAATCCTCCAGAAAAAAACTTTTGTTCAAGAGTTTTCTAAAAACCTCTTAAACTTTATTTTAAAAAAATAAATCTATCCCCTAATAAAGTGTATGTGTGTGTGCCTTTAAGTTTCCAATAAACAAAAACAACATTTTCCATTTAATCTTATCATTATTGTTGGACGAGAACGAGATACCCAAAAAAACGCCATGTGTTTATGATCGGTCAAATATCAATGTTTCAATTCGACAACGACAGCTGTATGTCTTTCAATTTTCCCCCAAAAAGAAATGAATGAAAGTCACTTTTGTTTTTTTATTATTAAAATCATTTGTGCACACTTGCATGTGTACATATATATATACACAACATTTTAATGGCAACGTCATCAAAGGTCGATCAAAATGTGTCTTCGTCAACAGTCAGCCAGCCAGCTTTAACACCAAAACTCAATATTTAAACTTATTTCATATTTTTTGGTTTTCTAATTCTCTATGCCAAACAACAATTCGAATAATAATTTAATTAATTATTGTATTAATTATTTAATATCGTTTTTGGACTTACATGCATACATATGCGTGACATCTTGTGGCCGCAGCAGAAATCTTGTCAATTTGCGATCATTAATAATTTATTTTCTCACAGTCATATTGTAAGCTGCGTGTGAGTGTGTGTTTCGAATTTATTTTATATGGTGTTATTGTTTTTTATTATTTTTCTTATATTATTTCTGTTAAATAATTTCATTGTTTATGTGTCATCATCAGTATTGTTGTGCGGCAGTGTTGATCATCTTAAAATGTTATATGTGTGTGTGAGTTTGTAAACTAAAACAGTCATGGGAAATTAAATAGCAGAGGATATCTGGTATTTAATTTTAAATCTAACTGAAAAAATATTATTTAAAAAATCAAAGACTTGTTGAGCCCTGAAAAATATAAAAATTTGATTAACAAATCCCCGCCTTGTATAGAACGTTCATAAAAATTAGAATAAAAAATCCACGTCTTGTAAGGAAAGTAGTAAAGTCGGGTTGGGCCGACTATATGATACCCTTCACTACTTGGGGGATATTCTACATATGTATCCCAAGAATTTCATGTCGAATTTCAAGTTTTATGAAATTGAACGAATTTAAATATATGATTTTTATCTATAAGTGAACCGACAAACATCAATCCATACACATGACTTTCTGCGATATTCGGTATGCCGGAAGCTATGTCTACATCTGCACCAATTCCAACAAAACGCAATAACGTCATTCTAGTCTCAATTTGATGTGCAAAATTTCGTGTCAATCGGACAAACATTAGGAGTTTGGTGCACCATTTACCTAAAATCGGACGAAAATATATAGTTGAGCTATATTTAAATTTGACTGATTCTAGACTTAATTCAGTACGCTATGCCAAATTTCGTGCAAATCGAAAGATATATAGGGAGTTTGTCGCACCATTTACCTACAATCGAACGAAAAATATATATGGGAGCTATATCTAAATCTGAACCGATTATAACTGAATCGTCCTAGGGCCAAAGAAAGGAGCTGTACAAATTTTCATAAAAATCAGATTATAAATGCGACCTGTACTTTGTTTACAATTTAACATCAACAGAAAGTGATTCTATGCATATTCTCAAAAGGAACCATGTGTCTATCTCGTTTCCTTTTGCCTGTTACAAAAATATGCACAAAGACATAATACCCTGTACCACAGTGTGGTGAAGGGTATAACAAATCCAAGACTTGTTGAGGTGCTGAAAAAATATTCCTTAAAAAATCAAAATCTTGTGGAGGTATAGAAAAAATATTCTTAAATAAATCAAAACCTTGTTGACAAATATACTTTAAAAAATCCACGCCTTGTATAGGACCTACAAAAATATTCTTTAAAACCCCACGGCTACGCCTAGTTAAGACCCTGAAAATACTAAAAAATCTCAGGATCCACCTAGATTTTTCGCAATAATATGTTTTATATTATCTTCTCTTGTTTTCATTATTTTTAATTTCATTAACGTCTCCCATGATCTAATATGCCGCAATATGCCGAATGACCACAAATGCAATCGCACTCACACCGCACAATTAAAATTAGTCATATTTCAAAATAAACAAAATAATTGCCAAGTATTGAAATACAAAGCCGAATAAATATCAATGTGGACACAGATTTATGTAAATATTATATGTATTAGTGAAATTGTTTATTTGAATAACCGGTATATGCCGTAAAATTTGCTACGTAAATAATTTAATGTATTTAAAAACATTTTTCTTAAGAGGCAAATACAATTATTGATATAGGATATTGGCCTAAGCCTTATGACAACATCAAAAGCACATTTTTTTGTTTGACCTGCCAAAACAATTATCGATGATCAAATGTAGGATTTCGACGAAGAAGAAAAGGAAAAGTATGAGATTCATATCAAATTTATATTTAGGAAAAAACAATTGACGGTCTATAAATAATTTCTTCCAAGACCTTTATAAGACGTGAGTTGTCCACTAATTTTCAAACATCACTTTTTAACATACTATGCAATTGTAAACAATTAACGCAAATGTTTGAAATTTTCACATTATTTTCATTAATTCTGACAGTTGATGAGGATCGCGGGATGTCTATCGTTGCCACATACATGACATATCGAAAATTTGTTAAATGTTATGAAATATATTTTTACAATTTAATTAGGAACTATTAAATATTTATTAATCACATTTTAAATATTTAGAAATATTTTTTTATATTTTATTACCGTTTATAGTTTTGAATTATTTTACAAATCGACATTGTATTGAAGAATTAAATATATAAATATAATAGACAATAGAATGGGTTATTGTACCTTGATGCAAGAAATCAGTCGATATTACGTGGTGGTTGGATATTTTGAGAACAATTGATGAAACTCAGACTTCCTGAGTTACTTTTTATAGAAAAAATACGACCTCAGATCTTGAGGTTTTGTTCTAGAAAAAAAAGTCGACTTCAGTTCTGAGATATTTGTTTCTATAAAAAAAAACAACAAACCTAAGTTCCTGGGTTTTTTTTATAAGAAATACCTCATGAACCGAGGTCGGGGTTTTTTATAGAAAAAGATCCAGAAACTATGATTGGGTTTCTTTCTACAAAAAAGAAAAAGAATCCGACCTCAGTTCCTAAGTTTTATTTTTCTGTAGAAAAAAATCCGTGAACAGAAGTGACCACTGGTATCCGAGCGAAACGACTGCTAATATGACATCTGTACATCATCTGACCTAGGTTACCCCACCATAGATCCTCATATAAATCCCTTCTTACCTACCTTAAATCATAATTGCGATATTCAGTTGTTGTTTGACAACTTTCGAAAGTACCACACATCGAGGAAAAATAGAAGAACACCTTTGTGTTTTATTTCTTTATCTCTTTTCAGATTTGCCTTTTCAAAAATAGACCTCCAAGTATGTAGGTTGTTTGGTTTTCCTCTCCTCTAACTACTACAATTTTTGTACATGAAATATTCAGGCATGGATGGATGGATATGGTGGCATCTTTTGCAAGTGCTCTTTACCAAAAGACAACTGACACATTATTTTTTGTTGAAAAACCAAAAACTATTTTTAAATAATATTTTGTTGTTTTTGTTGTTGCCTACATTTGATGATTATGATGTTGTTGGTCATTCCTCAAGCATCCATCCTCTTCAGAGTGAGAATATTTGAAATGACGATGATGAATCAAATAAAATACAAAAATATTACACCGCAATTATTTAAGAAATTTACAGAGCAACAGCATCACACTCGCACGCACACAATTTGCTATCCGGACGCTTGTAATAATAATTTGTAATATTTTTATATGTACAAATTATCAATATTTTTATAAGTTTTCCGTAACAAATAATTAAAACATGTTTTTTTTCTCTATTTCTTTGCAGAAGAAGACATTGGCAATAATTGTGTTTTTGTTTTCAAATCTGGTCCGTACCACCGCAAAAAAGGAGTAGCTCGCTCTGTTCGTTCTGCTCCAATTTTCATCATAAAGTTTCCAATAATTGGAAAAAATATAGACATTTAACAAAAAAATAAATAAAAATCCCCATACTCACAATGCCTGGCCAGGCAGTACAAGTTATCTCCACATCGGAGGAGCACACATTTCTATTAAATGAAGATCAACTGAGTGAGGTGCTGATGCGTGAAGAGGTCAAAGATCGCTATGTTTGTGTGGTCTCGGTGGCCGGAGCCTTTCGCAAGGGTAAAAGTTTTCTATTGGATTTTTTCCTTAGATATATGTACTCGAAGGTAAGTTCAACACCTCCTACAATAACAACAAAAATCAAACTTCCCTCCCCATTTATTTACAGTACGTTCGCCACGATGTCACCGATTGGTTGGGCGATGAAAACTCTCCCCTCACCGGCTTCTCCTGGCGTGGCGGTTCAGAACGTGACACCACCGGCATCCTAATGTGGTCGGATATTTTCCTACACGATTATCCAAATGGTGATAAAATTGCTATTATCCTACTGGACACCCAGGGAGCCTTTGACAGCCAGAGTACAGTGCGTGATTGTGCCACAGTTTTCGCCTTGAGCACCATGTTGTCATCGGTGCAAATTTACAATTTGTCACAAAATATCCAGGAGGATGATTTGCAACATCTGCAACTATTCACAGAGTACGGCCGCTTGGCATTGGCCGATTCGGGCAAAAAACCCTTCCAACGTCTACAATTTTTGGTGCGTGATTGGAGTTTTCCCTATGAGGCTGAATATGGTGCCGTTGGTGGTGAACAGATTTTAAAGAAACGTTTGGAAATATCCGACAAACAACATCCCGAGCTGCAATCACTGCGTCGTCACATTTCATCGTGTTTCCAAGAGGTTGCCTGTTTCCTGATGCCACATCCCGGCCTCAATGTGGCCACAAATCCCAATTTTGATGGCCGGCTCAAGGATATAACCCCAGAATTTAAACAAAGTCTACGCAGTTTGGTGCCAATGCTATTGTCGCCCGATAATTTGGTATACAAGGAAATTGGTGGTACACGTATTCGTGCCCGTGATCTCATACAATATTTCCAATCGTACATGACCATCTATAAGGGTGATGAGCTGCCCGAGCCGAAGAGTATGTTGGTGGCCACCGCTGAGGCTAATCACTTGACAGCCATGGCTGCGGCCAAAGAAATGTACAATCAATTAATGGAAGATGTTTGTGGTGGAACCCGGCCGTACTTAAGCACAGGACATTTGGAGGCAGAACATTTACGTGTTAAAGATAAGGCGGTATTTCAGGTGAGTTATTACAACGGGCATACTAAATGCGGCAATTGAAATGTCAACGACCCATAATTGGGAGGTGCCTTTTTTATTCCACGTAAAATTCCTTCTTGAAGGGTAAAATACTTTCCTTCAAATATAGGTCCGTGTTTTGACCAAACGAAGTAAAAAAAGTAATATGTTGTCAGCGTACATTCTTTTGAGATTTGAGAAGAGTCACTTGAGGCCTTATTTGCAGAATACTATAGATGAGGAAGTACTTGAAACAAATTATAGTAACGTCATCCATTTGTCTGGCTGATGACTATTCAATCGTCCTGGTTTATAATTATGAAGAATTTTCATAATATTTGGAGATTAAAGTTAATAATTTTATTATTAAAACCCAAACCATTTGTTTTTTTATTTTTCCCCCTTTGCAGTTCTTGGCGAAGCGCAAAATGGGCGGTGAAGATTTCACAGAAAAATTCCGTCAACAATTGGATGCCGATCTGGAGGAAATGTACATCAATTATAAATCGCACAATGAGAGTAAAAATATATTTAAAGCTGCCCGTACCCCGGCTGTATATTTTGCTGTGGCTGTCATCTTTTACATTCTAAGCGGTATCTTTGGTCTAGTGGGCATGTATACATTTGCCAATTTCAGCAATTTAATTATGGGCATAGCTCTATTGACATTGGCATTGTGGGCATATATAAGGTAAGCAAACAAAATGAAGTAAAAACCATCGTTAAGTTCGGTCGAACCGAATTTTATACCCTCTATAAAAAAATAAACATTCGGGACCTTCATTAATCGCGGTCTATGTCATACGGCGGATTGAACCCATCTTCGATCAAGGACTGTCAACCCAACAATTACATGTTCGTGTATTTTTTCAACATGGGAGCAACATTACGTGGAATGTTTGCTCCAGATTCGTTTATTCGTGCAGGGATTGAGACAAACCCCGATCATGGTTCTGTTTAGTTTGTCACAATCGCATCCACAATAGGTTCATATCGACGAGATGCCGTGCCCCGCGTTACTTGCCGGACATTAGTCATCTTTTGAGAGACAATAACGGCCTGGCGATAGGGAATTTCAATGTACAACATGAATTATGGCATTTTGTCCTAGGTAATGGCCAGAGGGTCATGGCGCTGGCCGAAGAAATAGATAGCTTAAAGTTTTGCACGGTGAATGAGAGCATATCCACCAGGAAAAGGGGATAGTGTCAAAGCTCATCGGACATATCCACCACGTCTCCAGGTCTGATGAATGATTTGGCAATCTGTGATTTCTTTGGGGTCACCCCCCTATTATCATATCCTAAACCATGGGAAAGAAAATTGCCAAGAGTTGAAAAATTTCACCAATCATCGCTTCAGAGAGCTGCCCAATTCTTCTAAAGTTCCTTTAACAGAAAGAAATTTTTGGGATATCATCACTGATGCAGTCGCTCGCTTTATACCTGCGGGTTATATACCCGAATCGAGACCCAGAGCAGACCCAGTAGATAGATTTACTACCCAATGGGAACTCAAGGTACCAAATTACAACCAATTATATGGGAATGGGAGCTGTCATTAAAAGTGAATCGATATGGGAAATTTCAAAACTCTATCTTGATTTCAACAGACGGACATGAAAAATTGGCATAGCATAAAATATTTAAAAAAATCTACACCTAAATATAGACCCTCAAAAAAATATTAAAGAAAAATCCACTTCTAAATATTGACCCTCAAAAAATATTTAAAAAAATCTCCGCATATAAATATTATAAAAAATCCTCACCTAAATATAGATTTATAAAAATTTAAAAAAAGAAATATTCCAAAGTTTTGGAAGCGGAATGACATATTATATTTGTCACCTTATATTTGTTAAATAGAAAATCCAATTTCGTTAGAAATATAAATTTCTAAAGTTGTTATTTAAACTTTTTGTTTTTGTTATCATTACAGATATAGCGGCGAACTAAGTGATTTTGGTGTTAAATTAGATGATTTTGCGACGTTACTGTGGGTCAATGTAAGTGAAAAAATCCACAAACCTTCGAAATGAAATTTAAATATTCCTTTTTTGTTTTTTTTTTCTTCTTCTTTTGCAGTTTATGAAACCCATCTATCAAGGTTGCATGGAAAAGGGCATACAACATGTGGCCACACATGCGGCTGAACATGTGGTCGGTGGCGGTAGAACTACATCGCTGAATGGCAAGGTCAAAAGTTCATGAGAATACGCCAAAAATGCCATGCCCAAAAAAGCCCGCGAAACTAATAAAAACCTAAATAAAAATAATAATTCTAATAGTGGTAGTGGTGGTGGTGAAGGAAGAGGAGGTGGAGGAGTAGGGGCTAAGCCCAAGGCAAATAATGAAAAAGGGCCACCAGCAACGGCAACAACAACAACAAATATCTTATCATCATCCTCAGCAGCATCATCAATTTCAACTTCATCAAGAAACTTTGAAAACAAACAACAACAGCCACAACCATCCACGGTAGTTAATAGTAGTAATAATTTAAAGCAACAACAGCAACTCACAACAACGAACAACAATTACATTGATAATGGAAAACAATCCGCCGCCGCTGCTGCTCTAAATAACTGTATGTTAGCCTCGCCAAATCTTAGTGCCGCCAATGACTCACAGAATGCGCCCACAATGTTTGCCTCCATTTGGAGTAAATTTTCAGCCACCTGCAATGAAGCCAAACAACAAAAACTCCTACAAAGGCAAAAGAGTCAACAAAATCATACAGCAGCCGCCTCCACATCATCATCATCGGCCACTACCGGCACCAATGGGTCAACAAATATTACGGTTTCAAATCGTAAAAAAAGAAAATCCAAGAAAAATAGCAACAACCATAATAACAACAACAACACTTCCAATGCTGCAAAAATTAATTAAAAAAACTCTATCTCTTTTTTACAAAAAAATACATACATGAAGAAAAAAACACAAATATGAAATGTTAATTTAATTACACTTCTCCTTTTTTATTTTTCTTAAAAATTAAACAGATATTTCAAACCCAAAAATATTGATCCCTAATTAAAAAAAAAAAAACAAAAAAATCCCATTTGTATTCCACTATCTTTTTAATCTCCCCTTTGCCTTCTTATTTTGTCTTATTTCCTTTTTTTTCAAAAACAAATTAGCCACGTAAATTTATAATAAAAAAAACTTAAGAATATATATCTAGTTTAATATAATTATGCTTAACTTAAAAATTATAGAACAAGAAGAAGAAAAAGAAAACACAACATTAAAATAAAAACACTTGAAACTAATTTTATTAATTTAATTATTTTTTCTAAACTCAAAACTAAAGCGCTGGCGTTAATTGTGGTCCATTATTTTCATAACTTCAAAGTTTTCGTAACAAAAGAAAATCATTTATAAAATGTGTTTTTTGTTTATTGTTGCTGTTGTTGCTTTAATTTATATACTTTTTTCTTTTAATGTGTCATTAAGAATATAAAAAAAAATGAAATGAAAATAAGAAGAATATATATTTTTGTACTTTTTTTTGTTTTCTAAACATTGAGAATTTTTTATATATATAAATAATTTTTTAATTTGTTTTTTTTTATTATCAATTTTTGTGTTAATTTAATTACATACTCTTATTATATACATACTTATATAAAAAACAAAAATATTATTTTATACATATCCACTCATGGTAAAAGGTATGAAATATTGGAAAAAATCCTAAAACATTAATTTTTTGTTTAAATGGTTGCATGCAAATGTGTGTGTGTGTGCGGGAGGAAGAGAAGAATTCCCACTACAACAGGAGAAAGCTGCAACCACACAAAAATAGTTGTGGAAGGGACAATAGTAACTGTTGTCACACACACCACCCACACACAACAATTAATTAATTGAATAATGGATGAATTTAAAACAATGTTTAAATTGATAAAATAGTAAAACAAAAACATTAAAAAATATAAATAAAAAATAAATCCCTTTAAACTCACAATAAAATATAGTTTTCATTTTAAAAATTCAAGCCTAGAAGTCCGGGAAATTTTTAAAAAATATTTAAAATATCCATGCCTCGAGGTCTGATTGATGTTTAAATAATTATTTTAAAAGTCTTTCCTAAAATGATATACCTTCCACCCTTCTGCCAATCCCTTTGTATTTTAAAATATTCTCAAAAAATCGCATTTTATTCATTTTTATTATTTTCCATGATTTTCTATAAACTTGAAAAAAAACCTTCATAATATTTTCCAGCAATCAATACGCATATTAATTAGTCACTTTTGGTCTGCTTACTACAGCAAGTTTTTCCAGTGGTAGTGGCGGCTTCCTTGCCATCACCATTCATACAATTACATTTATTATCCTTGGCACATTTACAGCGTTCATCGCACTTTGCTGTGGTGCATTTACAGTCTATATTGAAATGGGAGAAAAAATATTTGAATTATTGAAAATATATTTACAAAAAATAAAATGAATATATTTACCTTTTTCACATCCCTTGCAAGGCATCTTGATACGATTTTTACTTCAAAGTACTGTAGAGAAAATTGTTGTCACTTTGTAAATAGTTTTTCTTCTATACTTTTCCTGAAAAATACTTCTTCTATTGCGCATGTCGATATTTTCAAAGGTTTATCGATAACAATTATGGGGGTGGGGTTTAAATAACGGTTACATATAATAATCAACAGGTTAAATTATCCGTACTCGTTTAGTGACAACTTTTCTGATTATGAAACCGGGTTCCTATCCACAAGTAGCCTCGCACAAATTTATTTTGAATTTGATCCTTGAAAACTATACATTTTCCCCAATCCAAGAGTAAAAAATTACGAGAATAGCTCCATCCGTTCCAGAGATATAGCCATTTGATTAATTACACCAATAACGATTTTTAAAAATTGTTCAAATAGCTAAAACACAAAACAAAATGTTACCAGATTGCTTGTCTAGCATTGTACCGTAAATGTTGGCTAAAGCAAAGCACACTTCTTGGCGCTTTACTAATACAACGAAGAGCAATAAACAAACAAATAAGTATCCGTTAATTAGGGTAAGAGTGGATTTTTAAATATTTTTTCGGGCCTATACAAGGCGTGGATTTTTAAAAGAATATATTTTCAGGTCCTTACAAGGCGTGGATATTTTCTCAGGGCTCATACAAGGCGTGGATTTATTAAAGAATATTTTTCAGGGCCTACACAAGGCGTGGATTTTTAAAATAATATTTTTTTCAAGGCGTGGATTTTTTAAAGAATATTTTTTCAAGGCGTGGATTTTTAAAAGAATATTTTTTCAAGACGTGAATTTTCAAGAGAATATTTTTTTCAAGGCGTGGATTTTTAAAAGAATAATTTTTTTCAAGACGTGGCTTTTTAAAAGAATATTTTTTTCAAGGTGTGGATTTTTAAAAGAATATTTTTTTAAGGCGTGGATTTTTAAAAGAATATATTTTTTCAAGGCGTGGATTTTTAAAGAATATTTTTTTCAAGGCGTGGATTTTTAAAAGAATATTTTTTTTCAAGGCGTGGATTTTTTAAAGAATAATTTTTTTTTCTAGGCGTGGATTTTAAAAATAATAATTTTGGATATTTTTTATTTTTTTGGATATTTAATATTTTTTTCAGGCGTGGATTTTAAAAATAATAATTTTGGATATTTTTTATTTTTTTGGATATTTAATATTTTTTCAGGCGTGGATTTTAAAAATAATAATTTCGGATTTTTGAAAAAAAATTTTTTTTCAGGAGTGGATTTTTAAAAAAATATTTTTTCAGTCGTGGATTTTAAAAATAATAATTTTGGATATTTTTTATTTTTTTGGATATTTAATATTTTTTTCAGGCGTGGATTTTAAAAATAATAATTTCGGATTTTTGAAAAAAATATTTTTTTCAGGAGTGGATTTTTAAAAAAATATTTTTTCAGTCGTGGATTTTAAAAATAATAATTTCGGATTTAAAAAAAAAATATTTTTTTCAGGAGTGGATTTTTAAAAAAATATTTTTTTCAGGCGTGGATTTAAAAAAAAAAATATTTTTTCAGGCGTGGATTTTTAAAAAAATATTTTTTCAGGAGTGGATTTTTAAAAAAATATTTTTTTCAGGCGTGGATTTAAAAAAAAAATATTTTTTTCAGGCGTGGATTTTTAAAAAAATATTTTTTCAGGCGTGGATTTTTAAAAAAAATTTTTTTTTTTCATTTATTTTTAAGAGTCATTTCGGATACGATTTTTTTTTTTTTTTTTTTTAAAATTTCTTTTATTTTTTTTCAATATTAGTATTTAAATGAATATTTTATTTAACTAATACAAGGGTGTATTATAGGGTGTAGTGTAAATGATTTACTGTAATTTTGGTTTATAGTATTTGCTGTTCTCCAATGTTATGCTTGTGTGTGTCAGGGTCTGATAAAGGCTCTGAATAAAGATAATAAAAAAATGCTGATTTATGGTTTTGTCCCCCAATTGTTTGTTGGGTTACTGGCTTCGGTTAATGTTACGATTTACGATTGCGATTTTTACACTTATTTTTTAGGGTAATAATATCTTGTTTGTATTTTTATTTCTTCGTTTGTTGTTTAAAAATATTTTATTTTCACATCATTATTATTTTTTGTTTAATTTTATAATTACTATAATTAAAAATATTTTTCTCATGCGAATTTTTATTACTATTATTTTATATATTTCTTATCTTTGTGTTTTATTATAAAATCTTATATTTTAAGTATCCATAATAAATAAAATTTATTTTCAATTAAATTTTCATTATTAAAAAGAATTAAATCATAAATGTCAAAAATTTAGTTTTTTTTGTTTTTTTTTTTTAATTATTATCTTTATTAAATATATTGTGTGTGTATTTTCGTTTATTTTTTTCCTTTAACTTAAAGAACAACCTTGGGTTATCCTTTTTATAATTTATATTTATATAGAGATAAATATGAAAATTGTTTCTTTTGTTTTTTAACATTTACAATTTATAATGTAATTTTTTTATCCGAAACATAGTATATAATTACTATTTTTGTATATATCATATTTTCAACATCGTTTTTGTTATATTCATTCATATATTTGTGTTTCATTTTTTTGTTAATCATGACCTTAGGCCAGAAATTCTTTAACTTACATAGGAAGAAATTATAAATGAATTAAAAAAAATGAAAAATTCTTAAAGAAAATAGGATATTTTAAATTTAAAAAATACATATAAAATAAATGTAGAAAAAAAAGAAAAGCAGGCCTGGGAAGAAATTTGTAAAAAGAAAAATCAACCTTATATTCTAATATAAAATATAATTTTTAGTTAGTTAATAAAAATATATAAAATTAATTCGAAAAATACAGACAATTAAGAATGTTATAGTGGGTGGGCAGAGAGGGAGCCAGGGTTGGCATAACAAAAAATGATATTACTTAATTATGGTGGACAAGTTTGTAGAAAAAAATGTCAAAAGTCAAAATTTTTTAGATTTTTTTTTAATTAAAAAAAAATAACATTTCCTAATACCAATAAAGGCATGGTTTAAAAAAATATGTTTCCTTATACCAACATAGGAGTGGATTTAAAAAAATAATATATTTTTTCAAAATATTTTTCAAAAATAATCGGGTAAAAATGGGGAGTTTAGTGTAGCATATACATCATGTCGGACGAAAATATATATGAGAGATATTTGTAAATCTTAACCGATTTCAACGAAACTCTACACACGTCATTCTAGACTCAATTCAGTACGCTATGCAAAATTTTGTCTCATTCGAACAACCATTTGAAGTTTAATGCACCATTTACCTAAAACCGATTTCCACGAAACTTAGCAGATATCATTCTAGACTTAATATAATACGCTACGCAAAATTTTGTGGCATTCGAATAACTATTGGGAGTTTGGTAGACCATTTACCTAAATCTGAACCGATTTCAACGAAACTTAGCAGATATAATTCTACACTCCATATAATACGCCATACACGCAATTATACACTTAATACGGTACGGTATTCCATCTACATAAAATCGGACGAAAATATATGGGAGCTATATGTAAAGATGAACGGATTTCAACGAAACTTAGCATACATTATTCTATATTCAATTTAGGGACATTTAAATCAAATCGGACGAATATATATATATATATGCGAACCATATCTAAATTTGAACCGATTTTCACGAAACTCAACACACGTCATTATATACCCAAAACGATATGGTATTCCAAATTTCACATTTTCTTTTCATTTTTTTAAATTACTTTTTTCAAAATATAAATGTTGCTGTTTTAATTATTACCAGACCATTTTTTGGATTTATTTCTGCTTGTGAAAAGTATCTGCGGAGCAGAAATGTGGGTTTTTAATAACTTTTCAAAATTCACTATATAAAACATTCAGTTTTCCAAAGTAGGCAGAACAATTCCAAACGATTTAATTTACTTCACATAAATCAATTTGAATCATTGGTGTGTGAAACGTCTATATATGTATGTACTAACCACTTTTAAAGAAAACATTTTTTTGTCAGCAAAAGAAAAAAAAAATAGTCTTAGAATTATTATTCCATATTTATGAAATTCTTATTTTTCACATTTTTTTTTAATAAATGACATTTTTGTTTTGCAAATACTTTAAATTGCATAAATTAATATAGTAATAAAAACCCACACGGATTTAACATCAAGATGATGCAATTTGCATTTGTTTATCTGAATTCTGCTTAAACACAACAATTTTTTATATATAAAAAATATGTTTTAAATATAAATACCTCCTTTAGAAAGGAAACATTTTTGTTTACAACTTGTTTTTCTTAAACTTTACATACATATTTTTTGTCCACCTGTATCATGGAAAGGTGAAATGAAGTGAGAAATAATGAAATGAGTAAAGACTTTGGGATATTATAATGATTAAATCAACTTAAAAAAATATAAACTAAAACGACGATGAATAGAAGAATAGGAAAATATATATTAATAACAATCTTAGGATAAAAAGAAAATAGTTTGGTGGTTCGGAAATTAGCTTAAAGCTAGGATAAATCTAAATAAAAAAAGAAATAAACATGATAGGTTTTATGGTGGCACAAACCATTTCAGCATATAGAGATATAAAAAAGTGTGGTAGAAAGAGAGGGTGAAAGCGAGATAATGTGAGCTAATATTAAAGGGAGAAAAAAAAAACAAAAAATAAACAAACTTAAAATATAAATATAAAAAAGGATGAAGTAAATTAAATTAGTCAAAGTGCTTAGCACTGCTAATCTAGCATTTTGCCAAAAAATAAAATATTTAACAAATCATTAAACGATAACTAAATTTGCGGCGAATTAGCAGCCGTGGACGTTGAGGCCATGTTAGCATTAATAATATCATCACTAGAAGCTTTATGGGTGTGTGTTGCTGTACTCGTTGTTGTTGTGGTGGTAGCATTGGCTTGTTGTTGCTGTTGTATTTGTGTATCATTATCATTTGATTGAGTTGGTTCAGGCTTTTCCTCTTGTTTTTTGTTATTTTTGTCATTATCAGCATCCTTCATGGGCATGTCCTCCTCCTCATCATCATCACCATGAGTTTTCGATTCCTTTTGATTTTCCGGCGAATTGGTTGTGTTGTTATTACTACTGCTGTTGGTGGTGGAATTACAATTAAAGGCACTGCCTTGGGAATTGTTGTTGTTACAGCCACCGCCACCTTCATCACTGCTTTCCGGTATGGGTGTTGTATTCTGTTCACTTTCCATGGTCTCATCGAGCATACTTTGATTCCCAGCCGCCGCCGCCGCAGTAGCATTTGGAGAATTACTCTCCTCCTTTTGCATTAAAATCAGTATACTCTTAATATAAGTCTCCATGGTTAGCAATAGTTTTATGCGTTTCTCATGTTCATCCATTAAACGTTCATCGGCAGTTTTCTTTGTGTTGCCATAAGTAGCGGAATTTAATGCAGCAGCCGCCGCGGCCGCTGATGTTGAGGGTGTCTCCAAGAGACAAGTTTTTGTTGATTCTTTAGTTTCCTTAACAGGTGATTTAATAGCCTCCTTATGTTTATCATTTTCTTTAATATCCGTTTTATTAGTACTGGTGTCCGTTGTGGTGATAGTGGGGTTGGTGGTTTCCTTTTCTGTTTCGTCTGTAGATATTTTAGGTTTCTTCTTAGCTTCTTCATTGTCGTTGTCTCCGATTAAACATCTCTTTAACGTTTCTTCTTCCTCTTTCGTCATCTTAAAACTATCTTCTACTTCTTCTTTAGGTTTTGTGGCAGTTTTTTCAGCATCAGCATCATCATCAGTATGCCTTCGTTTGTCTTCGTCATGCGTCGTTGTGGTGTCATTACATGATTGCTTTTTACTCGACTGCTGTTCATTTGTTGTTGTTGTCTTATTCAATTCCTTTTTATTATCTTTATCATCGTCGTTGTCTAATTTCAACTTTTTATTTGGGAATAATTCTAAAAAGGAAGATTTAATTCAATAATTTTTGAAATTAATGTTTAAGTAGATATTCTTCTTGTTCTTACCATCTTCAGCCATTTCTTGATAACGGGCGCTTTTATATAATAAAGCCTTTAAAGATCCTCTTAGCTGTTTGCGTACCGATGCTGGTATACCCGTGCATTGGGCAAATACCCTTATGGCAAATAGATCGCCGCATAAATCGTCCAGATCTTCTTTCGAATGCATGGAATAGCTAATTGAGTACAAGAGACGGGCAATGGGTAGCTGGGAAGAAACCTGAAAAAGAAACATACATTTTTAAAGAATATTTTTTCAAACCTATACAAGGCGTGGATTTTTTAAAGAAAAATTTTCTCAAACCTATACAAGGCGGGGAGTTTTTAAAGAATATTTTTGTAGGTCCTATACAAGGCGTGAAGTTTTTAAAGAAAAATTTTCTCAAACCTATACAAGGCGAGGAGTTTTTAAAGAATATATTTGTAGGTCCTATACAAGGCGAGGAGTTTTTAAAGAATATGTTTGTAGGTCCTATACAAGGCGAGGAGTTTTTAAAGAATATGTTTGTAGGTCCTATACAAGGCGTGGAGTTTTTAAAGAATATATTTGTAGGTCCTATACAAGGCGAGGAGTTTTTAAAGAATATGTTTGTAGGTCCTATACAAGGCGTGGAGTTTTTAAAGAATATTTTTAAAGACTATTTTTGATCCTTTTAAAAATACCTTATCATCAGGTCATGATAAGGTATTTTTAAAAGGATCAATTGATGATTTTCATAATTCTTTTTCAAGGCTTATTTCTATGATTTTAAAACCTATTTTCGGCATATTTTTGGCGATTTTTAAAATAACTTTTCTATACCAATTTTTTTTTTTTTTGCTGATTATTAAAAAAACTCTTCAAGTCCCATTAGGGAAATATTTTTTATATTTTATTTTTTCCGAAAATCTTACTTACCTTTGGATAATAAATTTCCAAAAATCCTCGAATATATTGATCACTTAATGAAACACGACAATCGCGTAAAATAATGTGGATATATTCCACTAAGTATTGAGTATTTAGCAATAGCTCCGCGTATCTGAAATGTAATTAAAATGTTCACTCAAATTGCAAAACATTAAAGGAGAATTCTTCTGATACTAACTTATTCGTACTCTTATTATTATAAATGCCAACCCAAAATTTCGGGAAATAATTAAAACCCAACGGTGCTGCTTCAATCGCCGCCAAACAACTCAACCTAACCAATGTGTCATTCAATTGATTTGTATTTACAGCCATTCGCATCATAACATCCAAAAAATCATGATACGGTCGATAGAATGCCTCCACTTGGGCATCATATGCAAAATCGACACCACGATGTAACAGCTCACTATGTGGAATACACATTTGTACCATTGGTCTGGGTGGTCGTGGCATATTCTTGGCCATTGTGGGCCATGTTGTCTTGCCGCCGCCTCTTCTTGGAAAATATGGTCCCAAGGGACCAATGGCATTTGGCGCACTGGCCGCCGACATATGACAATTGAGTAAAATCGGTGCCAAAATACTGGTAACATCCAAATTGGGATTGCGCACCAACTCTTTAAGGACATCCAATGCTAGGCAACACAATTCAGGTGGGCTATAGGTATTTAAGAATGTAGCCAAACGTTTAACGGCGTCCGGTAGACCTTTTAAGAGAGCGGTATGTTGTTGATGTTGTCGCAAGAAATGCTGCTGCTGTAATTGTTGTTGCATTTGTTGTAGCTGTATTTGTTGCATCTGTTGTTGTAATTGTTTTTCTTTTTGCTGCTGTTGCGATTGTTGTGGCGACGACTGTTGCGATTGTTGTTGAGACTGCTGCTGCTGTTTTAATTGCTCCTGTTGTTTTTGCAAAAGTTGCTGATGTTGCGCCTGCAATTGTTGTACCTGTTGTTCCAACTGTTGTTGCTGCTTCTTGCTGGCATTGCTGTCGAGACGTGTACTTAAACGCAATGTACTCAAGAGTAGAACCATTTCACTCAGCAATTCCTGTAGATCGCCCGAAACGTGACAAGCCGTGGCCTCGTGATGCATGGAATGTAATGTGTGCAATGCTTCGAAGCACATCTCCAAGCCGCCGTTATATATGACCAGGAGACGATCTTCTTCATTGTCAACTGAGAAAAATGAATGGAAAAACATAATTAGAAAATTCAATTTTGTTAAAAATATTCAATGTGGGCAAAGCCAATTTTTCTCCATTTAGGGAGATTAGAACCTGTGTCGTTCCCTCAATTTTGACATTTAAATTGTTGATAAAATCTAAAAGATATAAGGTACTAGGATATGGATTTTTTTCGCACTCTTACCCAATATTCGAAAAGCATTGATCAATGTGCCCCATGACACCCTTGCATCCAGGCCCGTCAAATAAGCTGACAATGTTGTACGACGGAATGTAGTGACTTCATGTTTTTCCTGATCACTGGCATCCATGTGACGTGTGGCAAATAGGGTCATCAATTTAAACAACTCATCGACAGCGGCGGCATACTGTGTCGGATGCGGTGTAATATTTTTAAATGCCCATTGCAGATTTTGATGAGCCGCCAGTTGACGCGTTAGACTACGACTTTGTTCACAACACAAACGCAATAGACCATAATAGGCTGGCAGCATGGCACGATTATAGGCCACAATTTCCGAATCGTCATGATCAGCTCTGTGTGTGAGAGAGACAGAGGAGAACAAATAAATTTAATTGTAATAGAAACATATTTTGAATTTCCACTGGCATCCCAAAACTTACAATATATAATTAAATGCTATATTTCTTGTGATTTCTGGACAATTGGCAACAATCAGGGCATTTTCGGGACAATCGACAATGGTGTGATGCCAAAATGCTAACAGAGCATGTTTGTTATGATGAGCTGGTACACTTGGCTCTGATAAACGTGGATGAAATAGATCCCACAGGGCACGCATGTAGGGACCCATCTGTAAAACAAACAAAAAATAATACAAATAAATATTTTTGGAAAAACAAAAATATAATATTCTTCTTGATTAGGATTTACCATAAGTTTCTCAGTCTTCGATGCCATACAATATGCCAAAAGGCTAAAGTAAGAAGTTAATTTTGTTGTACCATGTACACCAATATCGGCATAGGCCCTGGCTGGACGCAATAGACGCAACAGCAAATTAATAATATTGTGTAGAATTATTTGAGCATCGTTGTTAAGTTCGCTACAAAGGAAAAACAATATACACGATTTAAAGGGGTTTGAATAGAGAAATCTGAGAGAAAACTCACCGATATATATGAGATGATGAAGACGATGATAATTTGTGCAATGAATGTATACGGAAATTAGCCCTAAATGGTTGTGATGGTACCAGTGAGACCAGTAAATAAGCAGCAGCTAAAATAAATTACAAAAATCCACACAATAAAATAATTCAAATCCATATGCATACTAGACATATATAAACCCACCATTACGAACTCTTGAATTGTGATGGGCCAAGAGATATTGTTCCACCCATGTGTCGGCCGATTGTAATATCCATGCATGGGCGATTTTATTTTTGGGCGCCTGAAAAGCCAACCAATCCAATGCCGATTGTGGACAATATTCTGCTGCATCCCAGACCCGTTGCAAAACCAATTGTGAAAAGCATGGTAGTCCTGAAGGTCCTCCCTGCGTTTCTGTTAGCAATGTTAGCAGTTTGAAGAAAGGGCCACATAGTTCGGTATGTTTGGTAACCGATGAAAATAGCATTGTGATAATTTGATTGGCTAAACGTTCATCCCAACGACAAAGGGCATGTATTAAATGTCGTGTCTGATGTGGATTTATGTTATCCTTAATTTGTTGATATAGAAATGGGAAACCCTAGAGGATGAGAAAATTTTATAAAAAAAATCAAAAATGTCGGTTTTGCCTCTTACCTTTCCACCAGCAATGGCATTATAGTCTTTCGGTGATAATTTCAAACGCAAATCTGGTCCCCTTGATCGTTCAACTAAACTGGCCACCAAAGCAATCATTTTATCCAACGATGCAGGTCTTGTTTTATCCACCGATAAAGCTTCATCCGATGAATTATCGTCATTATCGGAGCCAACTTCAAGCTGCGAGAAAAATTCATATAAATAGGTAAATCATTTGAAATACCAATTACTTCAAAGTCTAACGGAACCGAATATTTGATAACGATTTTTTGGGAGTTACGTTGTCCTTGCCCGTATTGGTATTCAGAGATACCAATGAAAAAGAAGTCCCGGCGGTTTTGTCGCAGTTCAGAGTATAGCAAAACTACTTCAACATCTAAAGGTCCGATCGATTTCAAGAGCCCTACTGAAATCCCACCCCGCCCCTCCATTCGATATACCCATATTTGCTAAATCTCTAATGCTTCCAGTCCTCAGTTATCCCGCACCCACATAAATCCATTTGGGTCAGGCCTCTTTTATGCAGAAACGCATTGAGAGAATCATGCCCCGTCAGTACTTAAGCCGAAGCGAAAGTCTGGCCGGTGCCAGACGTCACCCTTCCATTGTCACTGTTCGTCCACCTAGTCCTCAACCTATCAACAACACACTTCCGAAGGATAGTGCTGTACCGCCTACTATCCCCATCCACCAGATCAGAAGGCCTGAGCCAATCATCCTCATCCAACTGCAAGCCACGCTTAAGCTTATTCATGATAGCCCTACATCTCACCTCAAGATCAAGTGACGCGGCGCCAATCAACTCTTGCAACAACGGTGCGACACACTGGCAAACATGACGACCCGCTGACACGAAAGGAGCTTCTTCTGCCCTAAGACAGATGAGGCAGTTCTGTACCATAGGTACCATAGGTACACCATAAGTTGCACAGGCAACAAATAACCCACCATATATGATACGCACAGAACGCCTACTCAAACCCCAATCAGTCCGCAAAACACGCTTGATAGTCCCAACAACCGTTGTCAGCTTCTCCTTCAACCGATCGAAATGCGGAAGGAAATTCATCCGCTCGGATGAAGAGAGGACGGCTGCGTGCCAACCTACCTTTCAGCAGCATCAGCAACGTCTTCTCGATTGCCACCTCCACTCCAACTCGGTCACCATGATTTTCCAGTTCATGGCGACTATACCTTTCAATCATTATGAGCAAGTAGTCTATAAATAAACCTTGAAGGAGGCAGCTAGCTCCCGCAACAGAGGATCCATCATTAGATTCCATATACATGGACCGCTAATGGAACCCTGTGGGCAACCACGCTGCACACGACACAAGCATTCCTTCCCATCTCGGAAACAACTTGCTCAAAGAGCAATCTCCCTACATCCGACCTCTGACAACCTTGTGAGCACCCTATCCCATAAAAGGAAGGGAAATGCACCTTTAAAATCCACAAATATGGCAAGGACATATTTGGAATTTGACCAGCTCAGAACCGCGACTTAAGTAATACCACAACTCGGGCACACCTCCAAGTCCGGAGGAAATTATGGAGTCTCCAAATTCGGGAAGAAGGTTCCCAACAAAAACCGTACGCTCTCGCCCCACCCTGGGGTGGTTGTCGTAGAGCTGCTACGCAACCCCTGTAGGTCAACCTGTCTCTTAAACCCACCATGCTGGCACACACGGTATACTATACCCCATGGATCATCTCCATTGTCACATTCAAATGTGCCGCTCCCATGACAAAAATAATGCACTCGAACATGTATTTGTTGATGTAACAACCTCTGGTCGGAGTCCATCTTCGAGACAATCCGCTACATAGAACCAGCTGCCGTAGTATTGTATACTCTGGCAACAACTACCGTTAAATTCCTCGATATTTTTTATTTAATAGAACATTTTTTGCAGCTAGTGTTGCTGTTGCTGCTACGGACCGAACAAAAAATCTTTCCTAATTTCATTTTATATCCTCACTCACTCTCAATAAATCAAAGTTCTATGAGTGAAACCACCCGTAAATTATTACTAGCGGTACATCCTATAACATATCCTATTGATATATTTCATTTCATTTTCGTAGGTTACAAAAACACTAATCATAAAGTATGAACAAAGTTTTCGACTTACATTATCATGAGTCTTATTTCCCAAATAGAAATCGGCGACGCTCTTTATAACGCCAATTCGCAGCAGGAACAATGTTTCCTCATCACCCATGCGCGAGAATTCAAACAACAAACCGAAAAACTCCGATAGATTACGTAAATGAGCTTTAGCACCATGCTCCATGAGTATGGTCAATGAACTGATGAAACGTGTAACACACGAAGCTGTTCCAATAACCTCTTTGTCATCCACATCCGATTCGGTTTTTAAATATAAATGGCAATGAGAGGCACTGTAAATAAACAAGCAAAAATGAAATGGAATATTTATTAAGACAAATAATTTAAAAGATAAATAATATACAGTCGAAATTGCTCGCAAAACGCGACAAATAAAGGCGAGAACTTTTATCTGGACTTTTGGATAACATCGTTATAATCGATTGCGCATGCTCTTCAATTGTAACAGCACTTCAGCACAACCTCTGTGAGGTAGACCAAATGGCAGGAACTCGCAATAATTTCTCCAGATACTGTACGCCGAATATAATGGACATTTTTATATTGCTTATTAATATGTTACTGAATGGGTTAAAATGTCTCTAAAAGTTTTTGTATTAAAAATACCTCATATGTCAATAAGTTGTGTGACCTTCTTGGTTTTTATTTTCTAAACATAATTTTATTTACACAAATGGTTTCTAAAGTTTCAAACGCTATGCTTTAGTATTTGATTTAAATATTCAAGATTTTCAAATTTTTAATTTAGTTTATAACAACGAAGAGTTGAATAACTTTAATTCGGAAAAATGAAACTACTTCTGGCATTCCTTATACTTGTGATATTTTCATCACAAATTTCAGCATTTTTACCCTTGAACTCTATGGACAAGCTGTGGCAGGACATAGAAAATGGGAAAGTTACTAAACAAGAAAAAGCCATAAATATGTTCAATGATATCGAAAATAGTTTAACAAATGCCAAACAAAATTTCTACAAACTTTTGGATAACATGACAAAGGTAAGATGACTTTATTCACATTTAAGAAGTTCACATTTAAAATTTCAAAATTCTAGAATCTTTTGGATATATTCTCATTGAATATCGATGAACAACCAAAGACGACCACAACAACAACTATAAAACCTATAACTACTACAACTAAACAGAGCACCACCACTACATCAACGACTTCAACAACTACGACATCCACCCCACCACCATTGTCAACAACAACGGCAGTTCCCACAATGGGTTCATCTGTTATAGAAACCACAACACCACCTATTATGGGATGATTATTATGTGATAGATTCTAAAAATTATTTTATGTAAAAAAACTATTATATTTAGGAAATAAAATCAAGTAATAAAGTCTTTCGAAGTCATTGGCATCGAGGTCTCTCGTTGTATCAACAACATTGTCAGAGAACCAACAGTGATCCTCATACCAAATTCCATTCTATGTGTTATATTTTATCCTGAGTTAGACATTTCGAAAGCGTTTGACACAGTATCTGGAGAAGTTAATGTGGGTGCCTGCCATTTGGCCTTCCACAGTGGCTGAGCCACAGGCGAAATTACGCCCATCAGTACCGAAGTGTTGTTCTTATTTGGAGAGCATACAAAAGGCACACTCTTCCAGTCCCCTGAACCACAATTGTTCAGGGGACCACACCAACTGTCAGGCTGGATCGACAGATTTAGGGGCACGCGTGACACCCGGGGTACGGATAACCTCCAGTCAACAACACATTAAATTTCTTGACTGACAGCATCCTGGACTTTATTTGGTCTCGTCATCTGGACACAACCGGTTGTAATTCGGCGTTCATTTTTCAGTAGGTTACATGGATCTCCCTAATAAAGTTGCACAGGCAACAAATAAAGCACCATATATGACACGCACAGCACGCCTACTCAAGCCCAAATCACTCCGCAAAACACGTTTGAGGGTCCCAACGACCGTTGTCAGCTTTTACTTTAACAGCTCGAAGTGAGGAAGGAAATTCAACAGCTCGAACACCGTTATTCCGAGTTACAAACTGTATTCGAATACCTTATACCACGTTCACCAGCTCGAATGAAGGGAGGACGGCCGTGTGTCACCCCAATTTTCAGTAGCAGTCTTCTCGGTTGCCACCTTCATTCCAGACATGCACAATCCGCATAGCTTGCACACAATAAATTTCCAGTTCAAGACAACTATCCCCTTCATTCATCATGTTCCCAAAACATTACATGGATCTCCATTGTGCATCATTGCCCCAGGAGGTTCAAACTAAAGCGTTCAGAACTTTTATCTTAGCATTAAATTTCTGATTGATATGGGAGGAAAAATAAAGGAGGTTATCGAAGGCCACCCCTCCGGTTTATTATTATTTTAACATAATGGACGGTGGGGATACGCCTACCTTCGATGGAATTTCCAAATTGACCTTTCGCGGGTAGAAGTTCGTAATGGTTAAAAAATAGTTGGACATTTTTGCAATTATATCATCTATGTTAACGCCGAACGAAATGACAGTATAGTTATCGTCGTACGAAGCCACTGAAACACCTGGCGGAAAGTTTCTCAAGATACATATTGAACAAAATGGGAGATAGGACACCTCTTTACGGTAGAAAAATTGCCGACCGTTATGGTAATTGGTGGCAAGCCAACGATTATTATCACTTGGAAGGGTGGAATTCGGTATGTCGAATATCAGCTCGTAATGACCGACAGTATCGAACTCCTTGGACAAGTCTAAGGCTGCCACAATGGTCCGTCACTGATTGAATCCATTCGCAAATTGGAAGTATAGCCGTTTCTGATAGCAAGAACGAAATTATGTTTCAGAAATGGAAGCAATAGGAACTCCAAAAAGTAAAGCTCTTAAACTACTCTTTTGATTTGGATCTCCTACAACTCTGTACGTCTGCATCGGAACTTGGATAAGTTAGTTTATTCAAGTTCCACACATCAACATGCCAAAATAATTATATTTGATATTGGTACTATAGACGCATGTCTTTTGGTTCCCTTATTCAAAATGTGCTCCCGTGCAAGATTTAATACTTTCATCCAGTTCAATTTGCCAAAAAGCATATTTCAAACCGATCCTTATATTTAAGATTGAATCTACAGTAGCATCAACTTTTGTTCCATCTATTTCTCCCGTTGCGAGATTAAATATTTTATTTTCATCCAACTCAATTTGTCAAAACGCATATTTCAGATCGATAATACTAACATTATAACAATACTTATTACTTACCGCAGTCTTTGAATAACATGTATAACCAAACGTTGAAACATTTGTCGGACCATTTGATTGGGACATTGAATTAATACTTGTACTGGCCACCATGGTTCCATTGACATGTGCGTCAAAAACCATTCACAAGCCTCTTGGCTGGCATTAAATTGTTTTGTCAACAGTTCCACCCAAGGTACCATTGTTGGCTGAGAAAATTTACAAAGAAAAATTGAATATAATTACAATTTTAAAAAACGATAACAAATATTACCTTTTCTTTGGCATGTATAAATGTTTCAATGAAAAATGATACAGATAATTTGGCAGCCATACAAGTGACATCCTGCTGGGCTATCAATGTTTGTGGTATGTGACCACAAATTTGCCACATGAAACTAAAAATAAAATAGTTAAATCGGGATACATCGATGTGTTAATTTTCTACTCACTTAAAATATGTATGTTCGAATATATTGCGATCTTGTAGAAATTGTCTATTATCTTGCCATATCCAGTCTTCTAATTCTTTGCTCAGTTGTGGTCTTATAAAATGATCATTTGCTTTACTGTTTGGTGGCAGCAATGAGCTTGATGTGCACGATGATACTGCAACTGACGATGAGGATGCTGATGATGTGGATGGTGTCTCCGTTTCCTTTTCTTCCGTTGTATTACTACTATCACATTTATTTTTATCTGCAGCCTTAGTACCAGTATCGGGCAAAACTTCCATTTTCGAAGAATCTTCTTCATTTTGTTTTCCATCAATTGGTGTTTTATTTCCCTTTTCTTCGTTAACGGCTACATCGCCTGTGTTTTCGTGTTTCTTTGTGGGACTTGTTATAGTTGGCGGTGAAGCCAATAGATGAGCATGCTTCTCTTTCAAGTGATCCGGCAATCTTCGCTCATAGAATAACATATAGGCTGAATTAGTTTTCTCAAAACTAAAATCTAAATATTTTTCTGTCACCGAATCGTATGTTTTGCTCTGTAAAAGAAAGAAGAAAGGTATTTTTAAACATCGTTATTGTACCAGTAATTTTTAGAAAAACAGTAAGAATTATATCACGTGACTGCTTTTGGTCGGATGCTTCATGGATACATTTGGTGGTGGTCTTAACTGTGGAGCTCTTGACTGAGGATGCCAAATCAGCATCTGTCGAAGTGACTGTCCCAAAACCCGCAAACTCCTTATAGCAGTTAGATTTGGCTTACACAGACTATTTAAACACGTTATGGAATATGACCACGAGAATTGTGGTGTAGTTAGTTATATGTCCATCGAACTGCAAAAATTACAAGATTGATGAGATAGGCGATCGACCTTCAACGGATCCGATGCATACGTAACGATCTCTATGATGTTTACAGAACCCATTATGGATACCTTTACCTGATGATACTAGCCCTTAACCCCTAAAAATCTCCATGTTATTTCCTTCAACAACAACCGGCCAATTCATTTAGCATTCATCTTCGCAAAGCAGGATCAAGCGAGCAGTTATACGGAGATGCAATAATCTTAATCGAGACTTGCAGTTCCTATTATTCAAATCCAGCGAGGTAGTGGCAATTATGTGCAAATTCAAGCCATTCAAAGCTCATGTTGACCAAAATCCTCGAATCGATTTCACCGTTGGTAATTCCAGATATTTGGAAAGCTACCGGATTATTCTAATTCGAAAACCAGATAAATTCACTACTAATGGGTAATCCTACCGTCCAATTTCTCGTTGCGTCGATTTTGTGCGCAAATTTTCCAATTTGAAAGACTGTGTTTCGATATATCTTCCACTTAATCCTTCCAAAAAATTCTTGTCTTTCCCCTTCTGCGAAAACCATCAATAGCCTCCAGCGAGGCCCTTTGTCCAGACGGCATTTCTATATGTTCATGTTAAAGAAGCTTGGTGCCATAGAGCTGGTTTATCCGACCAAAATCCTCGAATTATCAATTTCACCGTTGGTAATTCCTAATATTTGAAAAGCTCCTGGATTATTCTAATTCGAAGAAAACCAGATAAATTCACTACTAATGGGGAATCCTACCGCCCAATTTCTCGTTGCGTCGATTTTGTGCGTAAATTTTCCAATTTGAAAGACGATATATTATCTTCCACTTAATCTTTCCAAAAAATCTTTGCTTTCCTCTTCTGCGAGAACCATCAATAACCTCAACTTTATATGCATTTTGAGCTGGGGCATCCTCATCTATTCGCACAACATGACCTAGTCACCACAGTCGCTGCAGCTCGATGCATCTTACTATGATGATGGTATAGCTCGTGGTCCATTCGACGCAGCAGAACCAATGTCCGGGATTTGCCTCAATACGGGTTCGGATCAATATAACCGGGATCAAAGATTTCGGGTAAAAAACTCATTCAGTATCAATCCACCACATAGTACGACCCCCTCTTCTTCACATTCTATGAAAAATAAAATGTTTTTTTACCGTCATTTCTCCACCAAAACATTCCGCAGCAATCTGTGATGGATCAAACGGCTTCACTTCAGCATCATTGAAAAGGAACCAACGATCATGTTGCATTGCCGATTTGTTGCGTTCCTTAATGAAGCTATAATAATGACCACCATCAGCTGTACCGGTGTGAACGGTAACACCAACAAGTTCATATCTAAAAAAATATAATTAATAAGAAGACAGATAGAGCAACAATATTCAAATTGAAAGACTTACTCTAAACATTCCTCTAAATCATCTTCCAAATCGTTGGAGTTTCCTTCGGCTTTCCTTTTTTCACGATCCTCTGAAAAAATGGTTTAAAATTATAAAAAATAAATCATTTCTTCGAGACAGCACACACCCACCTTTATACTGATGTGGCATTAGAGTTTTTTCCACATAGTCCGACATATTCAAACGCATGGGAAACGAAAAATGCGTATTGACTTTCTCCTTTAACATTGTCACCATATTGAAGGTGTAACGCATCGTGTTGAAACACAAAATCTGTGGCAATTTCTTAAAACATGCCCTCTTCTCGGCCCTAACCTTTTTGCCGCATTGCGAACATGTGTACATATTATCACCCTCGAGCGTGTCTTTGACCGTTACCTCATCTAAAGATTCTTGCAGATTACGCATATCGGCAACCTGACAACGTACCGTATAAAACTCTTCAGCTGTCCTTGAGACATGATCACAGTCCAATGAAACGACATTATTACTTAAAGTACCACAAAATAGTCGCTTAACTAAATCCTTAAGATCGGGAGTCATCTCCTCCAGTTTCGAGACAAGATCAATAAAGAATTCTGCCATATCTTTTTGTTCGCCGGTGTTCAGCGGTTGATGGTCCATTTGATAGACACGACAAAATGAACGTGGATTATAGGCTTTGCGTTCGGATTCCAAGAGATAGGCAAACATACGTTGCAACTCGAGCAGGGTGGGGGCATGTTTTTGGGCCTTGCCAGGTGGTACACGCAGCACAGCTGCTCTAGCCTGAGGCATCATGTAGAGATGTTGTATACATGAAGCCATATAACAGGTGGCACCCAAATTCGTTAGACCCACATAACCACACTCGGATCGGCCTTCATCACGGGGCCAATAATCCCATGGATAAGGGGGTTTTGGTCCCGGTGTATGTTGAGCCAGCAGTTTCTGATGCAGGAAGGTATAGTTTTTGGGGCAATTCTTACACAGCTCTACCAACAGATCATATGCCGCTGCCCGAGAAGTGGCCGATTTACACTTCGGTTTCTGACGATTATTCGGCGATGGCATATCGAAAAGAAATTCAAATATTTTCTCTATGAATTGTACAGCTTGAGGACTAAACTTAAAGGTGGGATCATATTTTACTAAATTCGACATGAGATTGATGAGACCAACCAGGCCATCATCCTGCATTCCATAACGTGTTTCATAGAATTCACGTGTCAGAATACTCTGGGCCACGGACTGGCATAATTTTTCAACATCAATGGCATCTCCGTTGAATGAAGATGACTCCAAAGAGGATTTAACCATCTCAGGTGATAGGGTATCCACCAGACGGGCCAATAGCCAAAAATAATCACGACATGCCGGTCCATAAGGTTCCTTGCCATCGTCGGTCAGCATATAGGGATTGTGATGATTGTAGGAAGTCATCTTCTCTGCCACCGGCAAAAAGGATATCAATTTCCTTAGCAACGGAGCCAATAGCAGTTGATAGCTTTGGGAATTACCCAAACAAATACGATAAAGGCCGGCGCATATTTCACGCCTCACCGCTGGCTCAGGATCCTCGAGTATGAATTTTTGAACCCAGTTACAGTATTCGGCATGGGTCCATAACGATTTTCGCGCCTCAGCGGAGGCGTGGACAAAACTGACCATAATATTCATAGCAAATTGTACAACTTGTGCCCGGCCCCAGAATCCGGTTCTCAAATGGTGATATTGATAACTGGATGTGGTAGCCAAATAATTGCTATACGCCTCATCATTCAGAATTGAGGAAAGGCGTCGCAAACATGAATCCACCGACATCATTTCGAGCATAAATTCTTTGGGTTTCGATATGGAGACCAACATATCCTCATGGTAATCCTCTTCAAAGCCCAGCAACCACAATATGCGCAAAAGACTAGCCAAACAGTCATGGCGCCATTCATTTAATAGCTCTTTGGGATAAGAGCTTTGTTGTAATTGACCCGATATAAAGATATCATAGAGATGTTTTAGACCACCACTTCGTATAAATATTTCACTCCATTTATTATCGGAAGTTTCCATTAGTCCACCAGCAGATGACGATGATGCGGTGGAGGAGGCGGCAGTACATTCCGTTTTCTTAGCCTTTTTCGACATATGTTTTATCGGACTACTAGGTTCTTTATCACTTGTCGTTACATGATTACCCGACGATGTGTGATGTTCACTTTCAGGGGTGTTCATTGATGAAATCATTGATGAATTTCCTCCACCACCTGCTTCTTTTTGTACCGCCGTCGCAGCCATATCTGAATTATCTCGTTCATCACTACTCATGGCTTTGGGTGAATCGCCATCTTGATCTTTGTTATTTGTATTACTGTGAGGACTTTCAATACTGTTACGTCTTCTGGCTCCCGATGAAATGCTGCTACCGGCACAACTACCACTTCCGCTACCAGAACCGGAACATGTACCGGCACAGCTGCTGGTCTTCTTTGATTTTGAGACACCACCTCGACTTGATTCGACGCTTATAATATTACCATTTACCCCGCCACAACACGGCGCACCACCACGTTGTTGGAATACGCTATGCAGTGCCAAACTCTCCACGATATGTAGCGAATACATAAATTTCTGTAAATTACTGGGATCCAATAAATCACACAGTTTCTGTTTAATTTCTTTGTGTTTGTTTTCCTTCTTCTCCGCTTCCTGACCGCTGTCGTATTGATCACATTCCGTTAGGTCACTAGCCAACCCCTTGAATGCATCCAATATTGTTGGATTTGTTGGCAGTATGGCTAAAATATCCCAGACGCGACGTGATAGTATCTGGGCCTTGGTATGTAACTGTAAATTATTCGGTTGTGGTTTCATATCGCCCAATGTTTGCATCAATGAGAAAAGTTTCTCGAAATATTTTGGCTGTAACAATAATACTGTGGGTAAACATTCTTTGGGCGGTGGTGGTTGCATTGAGGGGTGATCGATATTTGTCTCTTTGCGGCGTGCACCACGACCTCCCAAGGATACGAACACAATCTGGAAAAAAACGAAGAGTAATTAATAATTAAAAAATGTAGAGGTCAGGTCCCTCAAAAAAAAATATTTAAAAAATCTACGCGTTGCTATTCCCCTGTCCTGCTAGTATTTAGCAAAATATATCTTACCTGATTATCTTTAAAACCAGCATCACCCAATGTCCTTTCATCATACTCCGATGATAACTCCTGGCCTTGGGTTATTATCCGCAAGGGTCCTTCACTTAGTAAGAGTCCCAATACCGGTGCAGATACTCCCGAATTCGAAGTACCTTGTAGATTTTCCCACCTATTGAAAAATATAATATTAACATCAAAACGTTACTTATTTTTGCAAATATAAAATTACCATTTGGATATTTCGGCTTTCAGATCGGCTATTAAATCACAAGCATGCATGTGTAATATAGATTTTTCCGACAGACCAGCTGGTTGCAATATTATACGTATGGCTGGACCGGAACCTTCATTTTTTAAATTACTATGTGAGCCAATACCTTGTCCCTCAATGGCCCAACGTCTTAAATGGAAAGCATAACGACGACGAAATGTATCCAAATGGGTATTGAGCAGCATTAGACCACGCTGGACGCACATCAAGGCATTTTCATCTTCATTGTTGCTAAACGGGGAGGAGGAATTTTTTTGAAATAAAAAATCATTGATCAAATATGAATTATATATACCATTCCAATGCATTGGCAGCCTGTGTCAAATGTTCCATGCACTGTGATACAAATTCCTTTTCCAGTCTAAGCTGTTGACCCATATAATACATATTTATGTATTGGATGGCCGCCAATGACACCTCCGATGTGTGGGCCCTCAAGGCAATCTTCCAGAGATGAAACATACCCACAATATTTGAGGAATTTGTTGATATGGCATCCATTTGTTTTTCATAGTGGGCTATTGCCATTCGTGCCAAACTACACAGTTGTTGAAACAATCCCAAGGCGACCATGGAAAAATCTTCGGGTCTCAGTTCGGGTAATTTCTTTAGATATAAATGCTGCAGGGCATCCAAACCCAAGGCATGTTGATCGCCACCCTTGGCTTGACTCTGCAGCCAAGAGAAATAGCAATCCGAACAATCGGCATCATGAGCTAACCACTCCCACAGGGCATCCACTTGTTCGAGACTTAAACTGTTAAATAAAAAAGAAGGAAATTAAAAAACAAATATTTCCAAACATTCGAATGAAAAACTCACCGAAAAGTCTTTGGTGAACCCATTGATGAAAATATCGATGATAAAAACTGTAGTCGCACCGACACCTGTGTCTTGTGCGAATACAATGACAATTCATTTGAAGCGGCGGCTGCTGCTGGCTCGTTGCCCGTGGCTTTGGCCACCAAATATTCCATATGCCGCTTGGCATAATATTTGATGTTATTGAAGAAATGATACATCATACGATGTTGCCGTTCTGCCCACATTGTCACCTGATGTGTATCGGATGGACGAAATTGTTGAAATGATGCAAATAGCTTGGGTAGCAATCGCAGCGAAACAATCACACTACGATTATTTGCAAGATTTTGTAGACAACCCTCAATGAACTTGGTACGCAAATGACGATCATTGCTGAAACACAACAGAGTGGCTAATGCCTTTTCAGCCTCCAGGGCTAATGATTCACCAAGTTGACCCTGTCGCAAAAAATAGGAAAGAAAATACATAAGTGAAAGTAATATAACGATATAAGGTGTTAAAATTCCACGCCTATTTTCCCTGATAATTCTTGGCAAAATATTCTATAAAAATCCGCGCGTATTTCGCTGATTGCCCTTCAATTGCCCTGATATTCTTGGCAAAATATTGCTTAAAAATCAACGCCTATTGCCCTGATAATTCTTGGCAAAATATTCTTTAAAAATCCACGTCAATTGCCCTGATATTCTTGGCAAAATATTGCTTAAAAATCCCCACCTATTAGACTGACAATTTTTGACAAATATCCTTAAAAAAATCAAGCTTTTTAAAGCAAAAATTAAATTCCGACAAATTCTAATACTTACAATTTTATCATCCTGCAATAAATCCCACAGTAAAGTATTACCCGGCTGGCAAACATCATTGATTTTAAATGTTGGCTGTTGTGGTGATATGGACGAGGATAAGGCTATTTTATTACACTCCTTCGACATATCCATGTCCCCATCATTATTACTGTGTTTATTGGCTGCTGCTGCATTTGTATTGAGACCAGCCGTCACTGCCTTTGCCATTGCTGCAGCATTTGCCTGTTGTTGCATCGCCAACAATGATTGCTGCGCATTACCCGTTGCAACTGCTGCCACGGCCACAGCCGCTGCTGCGGCAGCTACATTTGCATCATTCTTTTGCATAGACATTGCTGTGTGAGCGGCAGCCATTGCCGCGGCTGCCGCAGCCAATGCTGGTGGCATACAATTATGTGAAACCCTCTGGGCATGAGAACTCACCAATTGAGCTATCTCCTCTTCGCATGGCGAAACATCTTCATCATCGAAATCAGCTAGATTTTTTTCGGATTTATTGCTCATCGGCGATGAATAGCTACCTTCATTTTCGGGTCCACTAACCAATTCACAAAGTTGGGAATTTTCTGGGCCACTAACCAATTCACACAGTTGAGAATCGGCAATGGCTCGTATATAGGGGCCGCCACCATGTAAATGGCTTAAAACGGCGCCCGGCACTTGGCCATTGTCACTGCAATCATCGCTGTCATTAAGTAATTCAGCCTCGGGATCATCACCTTCATCGCCATCATCACTGGAGGCATCATCTTCGCCACCATCACAAATGGCTTCGACAATTTCATATGCCAAACGGGTCAGTGGCATATTGCTATTGTTTTTGCGTGTTCGTTTGCGAGATTTTTTGCGATGTAAGGTTATGTTCAGAGATCCCTGTGTCATGTCATCTTCACTGCTGGAATTATCAATGATATTTACAATGCGATGATTTTTCATTCTGCAAAGGGAAACAATGTTTTAATTATCAGTTATTAAGAATAAATTATTCTTTGCATACTTACTTCATATCAGTTTTCGATTTGATAACTTTAATATCGTCCTCGGTAATATCCTTGCCAATTTTTCCCAATGGTATTATTGGCATTTGACGCCTGCGTCTGGCCTGTTTACAGGGGGTAACACCCGTATCCGATGAGCATACATTCTCAATATCAATGGGACTTTTTCGAGCACTAGCCAAACTGCTGTCATCACCATTACCCTCATCCGAATTACTGCCGTCCATGCTGCCACTATCCGAACTGGTGGCAGTGGCATTGGCCGCCATTAGCTCCTCCTCCAAACTCAACTGGGCACTATCACGCGACCATATTAACTTCGTCAAGGCCGATGCAATATAAATACTTTGTTCAGTGTGTTCTTTGGGATCCATGCGACACAAAAGCGTATACAAATACATGGCGGGTTTTGGTGCCAAATTCTTTACCAACGATGGCAGGATATCGAAAATTGCCTTTGAACAATGTTTAAGTTGTTGTGTGGCCTGCCATATTAGCTTAATGTGCTCCTCGGTGATTTGATTTTCCACCGCCAGGAAATTCAAAACAATGTGGGCCTGTTTTAGCACTTCCACATGCAAATTGGGGCCAAATAAATGTTGAATGATTTGATTTTCGGTTAACCAATTGGCAATCTTTTGGGCCACAACCTCAAATTCTCCAACCGTTTCGATTTCACCAAATATATTTATGTGGGCATTGATTTGGGTAATACCTAGAACAAGAAGAATAACAATGAGATTAACACCCAAAAAGATTAGGCTTATCCGAAAGAAACTCGCACTCACCCGCCAATCTCATTGTCAATGTGGTTGAGGTGAAATATTTAAAGGCCAATGCCAGACCTTCAACATCAAAACTAACCGAAGCATCCAAGGGATCTCTAACAGCTGACCACACAAAATCAGCCATTGCCCTGGTGGCAGCTGTTCGTAAATTTTGATCGGACAGCTTGCACATATATTGTAGAATTTTACTCCTTAGCGGTACATACAGCTGAACGATGCAACCGTAATGTAACCAAAGTTTTATATTCGAGACAGTGGCGGTAATGGCATGTGCTGTGGTCACGGGCAAGTCGGGTTGATCGAAGCATAGCTTCATTGCTGCAAACCCATTTGAGTTACAAAACAGTGTTGTGTTGCGTAGCAAATGTACGGGTATTTCATTATCATGTAGATCACAAAATATGGCCAAATGTTGGGCCTCCTCCGCGGATATATCATCCAGCCGGGCATGGGTACTATGCTTATAGGCTATATATAAAGGAAAGTTGAGCAAGAAGATTTTCGATACGAGAAGTAGTAATTTTTCCACTTCGGGTAATATCCAAGGTTCTTCGGTGTGCTGTGATACTGTTGATGCGGCGACGGATGATGAGGGGGATAATGAGGACGATGATTGTGGAGTGGTGGTGTGGGTTTTATCGCCTGTTCCACCCTGTTGTGCCGCCGAATCACTGGATGTTTTTCCGGCCTGAGGCTTCTTTTCATCCACATTTGAGCTATCGTCTGATTTTTCATTGGAATTTCCCTCTACTTTCTTGTCACTTGATTCTGTTGATTCGATATTTAATTGCTTCTGTGTGCTGCCACTACTCGAATCCTTTGGGTCTCCTTCCTGTTCCTCCTGCTTCTTTTGACTTGCACTTGTGTTGTGTTTTTCATCCTCTTTAGATTGGCCATCGGAACTTGATGTTGCGCTGGGTGATTGTTGACTGTGTGCCGACGATGATGATGCTTGAGTTGCTACTGCTGCATGCGCGGTTATTTTCTTATAATCCTCAATTAAACGTTTAATGTGTTTCAGATGATGTACAGCCAGACAGATCATCGATTGTATGAGTAAATTGAAACGTTCGAAATTTTTCGTGTCCCGATATAGACACATACATTGCCGTTGTGGCCATGCCTGTATGTAACCAAAGGCTGTTTCTATTTCACTTTTATAAATTATTGAATGTTTGGCATCATTACTGGTAATTCTTGCCTCGTCTGAAATGAAAAACATGAAAAAGTAGATTTAATTACCATGAGAATATTAAGAATTTTTTATATAAAAAAAGATCTTTTAGAAGGCATACAATTCTTTCCAATTTTTAAAATTCCAAAATTCTGTATTTTTTTTAAGAAATCGATTATTCTGTAATCCCTTTTTATTCAATTTATGGTTCTTTCGAGAATAATTTCAAATTCTATGAAGCTGTGCTAAGACTTCAAGTTTAAAGCTGCAGACGTTGAAAAGCTACAAACACAACAGATACCAGAAGCCTACTCCACTCCACTTACCCACCTGCTTGACGAAAGCACTTCTTGTCCCGATTATAATATAGAAGCACAATGGCAAACAAACTGCACAAACTACAAACTGCAGCAGAAGCAACACTTGGGTACCAAAAACCACCATAAAGAAACCCATGGTACGATCAGGAGTGCCGTAATGCTACTGATGTGAAAAACGCAGTGTATAGGGCAACCTTGCAAACAGTAGCAGCACGTAATGCGATGGAGAATTATCGAGAAAATATGAGTAACTTCTGGTAATGTGGACCATCACAATTTGGACCAGATAAAAAAATGCTTGAAATATGCCAATGCCGCCTTGATAAAAATTAGTGAAAACAAACATCAAACTTGGTTTTTAATAAATAATTGCAATGTTGAAAATTTAGTAGGTGAAAATGTAGCTCTGATTGCAAAACTGTGATTTGAAAATTTTTTAGCACAATAGTCGAACGATTTTGTAAAATAGTCGAACATTTTGTTTTTCTCGAATATAAAGAGGTTATGTGGTTTTCTTGTTTTCTTTAACAAAAATACACGTTTATCTGTAATTATTTTCGGTTATTTTTAAATTTTTATTCATTTTTGAAGCCGATAATTATTTTTAAATAAAAATATACAATGTCGGGTAATGTGGACCACTATAAAAAAGTGGGACATTTTCATGAGGACGAGTTCGAAACAAGGGCGCATTTAATATGCGAGGAGGTATTCAATCCTCTGAAAACTCGATATCCGAAATTATAGGTGCCTGTTGGATAATGAAGCAAGGACCTTCAAAATACCGCAAATGGGGTGGTACCCTTAAATGGGGGCAATTCCAAAACATGGCATATATTTTTGCATTCATTGTTACCCAAGAGTGCAATAAATTGAAATTTATCACAATTAATCCACAACCTACTTTTAACTTACTGATCCTCATTACCCACACATACTGGTCCACATTACCCGCCAAGTTATTTTTATATGCAGTTTAGAGTTTTTTGAAATATAATGCAATAACATTTTTATGGACAAATATATATAATTTTTGACCTGGAATATAATTAGCCAACAAATCTACCATGCTGTGAAAACAATTTGTTTTTATTTTTTACCGTTGTTACGCCCACAATATCAAAAAAAGAAAATGGTGGTCCACATTACCCGAAGTTACTCTATGAAAGAGGACAATCACAATTTCAGAAAAAGAAGAAAGAACAAGAAAAAAGTGAACAATTGGAGGTATACAGGAGTTAGAATGAAGTCCGGAAATTTTACCAACGAGTAAAACACCAAACCGGAGGCTTTGGCACATCCTCCTGTATAGATAAAAATAGAAACCAGGAGCCGATGGGTTACCAGCCGAACTATTCAGAACTTGTGGTCAGATGCTGGTCAGGAGCATGCACCAGCTAATTAGTACATTCTGGCAAGAGGAATGCATGCCCAATGATTGGAACCTCAGCATCCTGTGTCTGTGCACAAAAAGGAGACAAGACTATATGTGCAAACTATAGAGCAATTAGTCTTCTTCCCATTGCATATAAAGTGTTATCCAATGTCAATGACATTATTGGACCATACCAATGCGGCTTCAGACCTGGCAAATCCACCATTGACCAGATTTTCACTCTGCGTCAAATCCTGGAAAAGATCCACGAAAAACACATCGACACACATCGTCGACTATAAAGCCGCATTTATTTCACATGAAATCCAAGGCTATCGAGCCCATTAAAAAATAAATTTCAAATCCTGCACAAGACGTGCATTTAAAAAAATATATTTTTCAAATCCTGCACAAGGCGAAGATTTGATAAAAAAAAAATATTTTTTAAAAAATAATGTGCTGCATCGACAACATATAGTTGTATCGATAGACGGGTAAGATATTCGTCTCCTCTTCAAGATGGTCCACTGGAGTAATGAGGAGACACCCGGTTGCAGTTCTCAGGGCGCCATTCTGGCAGGTCTGAAAATCCTTCCACTTACATTTGCAAACCACACTGGTACCGCATAGCTCACCATGGACCGGCCTATTGTTTTTTAAGATGTCAACAAGGTTTCTTTGTCTTCGCAGACGACTTGAAAATCCGAACATTAAACTAAGTAAGAAAATCTATATAGGTAAGAGTCCAAGTGGAATTTTTAAAGTCTATATCTCGATTTTTCTATTATTTTACAAAACTGAAGACCTATTTTGGGCACATTTTACAGCTCTGTATTTCAAAAATCTCCCCCAGAACTTTATCACTGAAATACACAATTCGTTAATATTACCGGCATTTTACAACAACAACATTCACTTTGTGTAAAATAACACCTTCGACATGCATACCAACAAAAACAACAACATGAATTCGCATATCGTCTGTCTGTCTCTGCTAGGCCAGCCAAATAGCTAACCCACAATCGGCAACAAACATCCTTTCTTTTTGGAGGTGGGGTGAGGGGGATTTTCTTTTTTTTTACTTACACGACTCCAATAGCTGTTGAAAATCTGAACAAATATCACACATATTTCCACTCATTTCATTTGGCAGTTTGGAAAACCCAATTGTTTTCCCTCCAACAACAACAGCAAAAAAGTCAGTCTCCAGAAGCTATTGTGAGCCACTTCTTTCAGTTGTCTTCAATCTGCCGTCGTTTTCGGCGTAGAATTTTCCTCCTTTTTCTAGCCGTCGTCGTCGTTGTTTTTTTCTTCTGCTACTCTCTGTCGGTTGCCTGATTTTTTGGGGAGATGTTTGAGTTTTTCCGGGTTTGGCACGATTTGCATTCGCGTTTTTAGTGGTTTCGTGCAATCCCCATTTTATGTTTTTGCAAATTCAGTAGTTTTTGTTTATTTCAATATTAAAATTGCGCTGGGATTTTAGAAATTTTACAACGAATTCATTCACTTATTTCCTTTTCCTTGCAAATAAAAATCTAAAATCTGCCTGTATAGGGATAGGGACCTGTAAACCCATCATTTGCACAATCGAATCGATTAGATTAGTGCAAAAATCGTTTATCGTTCTTTGTTACAATATTTATCGAATTTTAATTGCGGATATTTTCTTGTTTTGTTTTGACTCCTTTGTGGATAATGGGGGGTTGTGGTTCCAAAGGAAGGTTGCTACAATTCCTGTATGTAAAAATATAAATTATTTTTAAGAAATTAAAATCTTTGAATTATTATAAAACTAATATTATTAAAAAAACAAAAGTAAAGCTCAAATCTAAACTGCATATTAAAATACTTAGATATGGAGCAATAATTTCCGTTTAAATGTATATCAAGTGACCCCTATCGATTTAGAGAACTCTATCGTTTTGTTTACAATGTTATCTCAAGTTTACACAAGACAATTATTTATTGGCCACAATTAGCAAATTTGCAAACCATGGACCCATGGTATAATTATCACAAGTGGTTTGTTGTCGTACTGTAAGAATAGCAAGGTAGGACCTCCTGATTACAATTTGTTCCCAAGGTGACTTTTTCTTTCAAATCAAAATATGTACTTATTTTTTGTATGAGTGTGTGTATTGTTTTGAATACCATGTCAAATAAATTGAAATGTATTAAATGAAAATGATTTGTAACCGCTTCTTTTGGAAGTAATTACATTGTTGTAGATGAAACAAACATTTCATGACATTCCCTACGAGATTTGGGGAAGAAATCATGACCTTTCATTCATTTCCCCGTTTTTAGTATGTGGTGAAATCATGTTAAATAAATACGTTTACTTGTTGCGTATATTTTTTATATCTGACAGTTATTTGGTGAAAACATATATTTGACAGAAGAAGCCACTACAAACGTAGTTGCTTTTTTGTTATTCACCTTGTATTATTGTACCACGTATGGTCCCAAATATAGAAGAACTACTACTTGTTTAATGATACTAGTTTTTTAGTTAAATCTAAGCCTTTGATGTTGTTAAATCATTCCTTCAAAACTTTCCCTGAACATTTGTTTAATTTACGCCTCTGATTTTAGGAAATCCAAGCCCCTGATTTTTTTCCAGTCCACTGAATTTATTTTTCATATCCACATCTGTGTTTTTTTAATTTACGCCGTCGATTTTTTTAATTTATTTATCTGATATTATCTAAAAACAGATTTTTTCAATCTACGACCTACGTTTTTTACCCACGCCTCCGATTGTTTTAAAAATGTACGTCTCTTTATTATTTAGGTCCCGCTTTTGATTTTTTTATATTATCGCTTCTATTTTTTCCACACTTTAGATTTTTTAGTCTACGTCTCCGTTTTTTTAATCCGTCATTCCTTAGATTTTTTTCAACGTGTCCGACTTTTTTAATCCACGCCTTAGATTTTTTTTAAATCCTCGCCTCTGATTTTGTAAAAATCACGCTTTATTTTTTTATTTAAGTCACGGTTTTTTTTTAATCAACGATTTAATTTTATTTAAATTGTTTATTGGCTATTCAAAAATATTCGTTAAAAAAAATTCACACAGCCAGAGGATTTTGAGTAAAAACGTACAAATTTCGCCTTATAGATCCCTAATGATTTGTTTACATGATACCCCTATCAACGATAACACAGCGATATGTCGATAAAGCAGGTCATGGTCGATAAATATAAAAATTTTATTACAATTCGCCGCATTAAAATGTAAACATACATTTTAAAATAATTTTATTATTATATAATATTTATTTATTATATATTATTGCCTTTATTGTTTTTTTCTGATTAGAGTTTTATAAATTTATATATAAAAATAAATACTATATATTCTCCTATCCCTTACCGGCAAATCGAATTCGCCTGTTATGACATCAATGTTATCAAAACAGACAATATCAATTCGCCGCTGAGATTGCCTTCTTCCAAAAGAGGGGTTTGTTTACATCCAGTTTCCATCCCTTACGAATCGAATATTTTTATGGGTACTCACTCACAAAATATCCTTCACTACAACAATAGGGAGAACAAGAATGCAAAGGATAATATTTGCAAAAAAATATTTTTTATTTGTAATATTTAGTTTATTTTATATACAAAATGTTGGTAAGTTGTTTGAAAATTTAACAACACATCATGGGGTATTAAAAACTTGTCGATTTTTTCTCCTTTTTCTCTTACAGATTCCCTTCATCGTACCCTTAAACATTTCGAAGTTTTTCACAAGGACGAGGTCCAGCATCGTATTGTGAAAAGAGGTGTCAAACATAGTTCGAATCCATTTAATGTCATCAAGGAGGTGGAATTCAAGACATTGGGTAAAAATTTCCGCCTAATACTGCATCCACATCGAGAGGTGTTGCATAGTAAATTTAAGGCCTATACTGTGGATGGTGATGGCAATGAAACGGTGGTACATTTGGGTAAGTAGCAATCACCCACCCACCCCCTTCATTTGTTGGATTATTGCATCTGTTGTTGGTTGTCTTTTAGATCATGATAATTTCTATTCCGGAAGAGTATTTGGTGAGGTTGATTCATCCGTTAGGGCTCACATAGAAGATGGCTTAATGACTATGTCCATTAATTTACCCGATGAAGCATATCATGTTGAGGTAAGGTATATATTTTTATTAATAATAGAAAAAGTTACGGCTTATGTTGGGTTTGGCTTACAGGAAAGTCCTTGCTTACCGTGGTAAGGACTCTGCTTGTAATTTCTTCATTTATGGGCCCCCAAGTTCTACTTGCTCCACACGTATGTTAAATAGGTCATTAGGACCACCTTTTCAGATGTTCCAAATCAAATCAAAACAATCTCTAAAATTGTTCTTCTATCGTAATTAAATGTTTGTTTGTGTCTGCGTATTTATAGCCTTCTTGGCGTCACCTACCCACTGCCAAAGATAATACCATGGTTGCATATCGTACCTCGGATATAAAAATGAATTTTCAACATCCACAAAAAGGAGATATGGGTGGTGCTCCACTAACCTGCGGTTATGTCAAGGAAGGTTTGGGTAAGTATTTCCAGATTCCATCGAAGTTGTGCCAAGTACGTGGCTTCGGCTTAAGTCAGTTTTAAGGCCGGCCGCGAAAATCCACGGCATAAATAGGCCTTGAAAAATTATTCTTAAAAAATCCACGTCTTGGATATGGCTTGAAAATTTTTTCTTGAAAAAATCTATATTTATTGTGTAAAAAACCAGATCTTAGATATTTATTGAAAAATCATTCTAAAAATGTAATTTCCCTTACAGAACTAGAAGAAGACGACGATGATGAAGATCCCGACAATCAGCATGCTACGGACCATCATGATCACCAACCCCAATCACAGCTCGTATCATCGGTACACAATGAACCACACAAGAGATCAAAACGCCAAGCTGATCAATATGAATATACACCCACCAAGACCCGATGTCCGTTACTGCTGGTGGCCGATTATAGATTTTTCCAAGAAATGGGTGGTGGTAATACAAAAACTACAATTAATTATTTGGTAATTTGAAAATATATTTTATTAGGTTAATATTTAATTTAATTCAATTCCTTCTGTGTACTTTTCCAGATAAGTCTCATCGATCGTGTTCATAAAATCTACAATGATACCGTTTGGCAAGATCGTTCTGATCAGGAAGGTTTCAAGGGTATGGGTTTTGTTATTAAGAAAATTGTTGTTCACTCGGAACCGACACGTTTAAGGGGTGGTGAGGCCCATTATAATATGATACGAGAAAAATGGGATGTTCGTAATCTATTGGAGGTAAGTTCTTTACTGGATTTTATTGCGATATTTTAAATTTATATTATATTTGAAACGTTTCTTCTTCCATAATCTATGTATTTCCAATATCTATGTTAGGTCTTTTCTCGAGAGTATAGCCACAAGGATTTTTGTCTAGCACATCTATTTACGGATTTGAAATTTGAAGGCGGCATTTTGGGTTTGGCATATGTTGGCTCGCCCAGACGTAATTCGGTGGGAGGCATTTGTACACCAGGTTAAAATGAAAACATATTAAGTTTATATTTATTTTTTAATTTTGTAAATTTTATTTTATTATTTTTTTTAGTTTGAAAGGAACCATTCCAAACCTTTTTTGTTGAGTAGTAAAAGGTATATTTATTGTTTATTTTCAAATTCTTTATTTTATGTTTTCAGCCGCCCGGTCAGACACGGAATGTTTCATGTGAAATAAAATCCAATATAAGTTAATGAACTGCAGATTAAAGAAAATACTTTAGACTCCTAATAGACTACTAAAATCATCAGTTTCTTTTAGGCTAGAAAAAGTATTCTTTAAACAATCGCCTTAGATAGAGCTTGAAAAAGAATTCTTCACAAAATCTACGCCTTGGGTAGGCCATAAAAAATATTTTTTAAAAAATCCGCTACTCTTCTGAAACGTTCTTTATCTGATTTCCATTTTTATATCCATCATATAATTATTATTTTTTGCAATCTTTATTATTTTGCTTTGTTTTTTATATTATTTTTTTTAATGTTCCTTTTTTGTCACCCATAGAGTACTTCAAAAATGGCTATACCTTATATTTAAATTCCGGCCTGAGCAGTTCCCGCAACCACTATGGTCAGCGTGTTATTACCCGTGAAGCTGATTTGGTAACAGCCCATGAATTTGGACACAATTGGGGCTCTGAACATGATCCCGATATACCAGAATGTTCGCCAAGTGCCTCACAGGGTGGTAGTTTTCTAATGTACACATATTCCGTTAGTGGTTATGATGTCAATAATAAGGTAAGAAGAGAAAGAACGGAATTGGGATATATATTTTGAGTCTCAAAATAAAGTATCTAATTACAAGGAAGATTAGTGGTTTATTTCTAAATCTGTTCTTTAAATTTGGGAATAAAGATTCATCACTTTTGTTATTCTATTTTTTAGAAATTCTCACCATGTTCGTTACGTTCGATACGCAAAGTCCTCCAAGCCAAATCGGGACGCTGTTTCTCCGAACCCGAGGAATCATTCTGTGGCAATTTACGCGTGGAAGGCGATGAACAGTGTGATGCTGGCCTCTTGGGTACAGAAGATAATGATGCTTGCTGTGATAAAAATTGTAAATTGCGTCGCAATCAGGGTGCCGTTTGCAGTGATAAAAATTCACCATGCTGTCAGAATTGTCAATTTATGCCGGCTGGGGTGAAATGTCGCGATCAAGTCTATGCTACATGTGAGCGGGAGGCCCGTTGTACGGGTACACATGCTGAGTGTCCGAAATCGCCGGCCATGGATGACGGGACAATGTGTCAGGAACGTGGCCAGTGTCGTAGTGGTAAATGCAGTAAGTAGTTGAAGTGAAAGAATTTATTTTTGTCATTTGAATAAAACAAAATATTGTTTCCTTTTCGTCCTTAGTTCCATATTGTGAAACCCAGGGGCTGCAGAGTTGTATGTGCGATATAATACAAGATGCCTGCAAAAGGTGAGATGGAATAAAAATACGATGTGAATCATTGAGGTCTTAAAAAATATCCTAAAAAAATCTACATCTTGTTGAAGTCTTGAACAAATATTCCATAAAAATTCACGCCTCTGTTTGACCTTCCAAAATACTAATTTTTTTATTATATTATTTGCAGATGCTGTCGTATGAGTATTAACGAGACATGTTTTCCCGTTGAACCACCAGACGTTTTACCAGATGGTACTCCATGCATTCAAGGTTTTTGTAATAAGGTATGTTCCGGTTATATATAACTTTCTGGACTCTAAATAATTAAATTAACTCTCTCTATAGGGTGTTTGCGAAAAAACCATACAAGATGTTGTTGAACGTTTCTGGGATATTATAGAAGAAATCAATATCAATCGGGTGTTGAGATTTTTAAAAGATAACATTGTGTGTAAGTATTGAATTCTAAAAGTAAATTAAATGCCATTTTGTTATAATATCCCTTGATTCCGTTGTAGTGGCCGTGGTTGTCTTCACCTCCATTTTTTGGATACCAGCCAGCTGTGTTATCTCATACTTTGATCGTAAAAAGTTACGACATGAGCTGAAACAAATTGAATGGAGTCAAAAAAATGATCTTATACATCCGGGCGATAGACGCCGTGTCATACATATAAGGTAAAAGTCAGTAATTTTGTTTAACATTATCGAAATGTTGACATATGAATCATTTTGATACAGGGTGCCGCGTCAGAAGATGTCAATGGCACGCATGTAAATGTTGTAGCAGAAATTAGAAATATGTATTTTAATTTTAAGAATAAATATACATACTTGAAAAATAAATGAAATTATGCATTTGTATTAATAAGAAAAATACATACATATACAAATAAAATAAATAACATAATTTTAGTCAATAAAGGAATTTTATTTTATTTATTTTTTGAAAAATATTCATAAAGAATCCAAGGCTTGGATAGGCTTTGAACAAATATTATTAAAAAATCCATGCCTTGTTTGACCATTGAAAGTAAATTCTTTAAAAAATCTACGACTTGTTTGGGTCTTAAAAAATATGTTTTATTGTAATTGATATAAGTTAACCTTTGGGCTTTTATTTTCTTTATTTCAGAGGATGTCTTGAGGTCAGAGGAAAATAAAAACAAATGTTTTTAATTTTACTGATTTTTATTTCTAAAATATTTCCATCATTTTCTATGATCACCATCAAGGAGTTGAACTAATTTTCCACAAATTGTTTTACTCTTCCGTGAGTTCAGTTTCAAACTCACAGAAGAGTAAAACAATTTGTGGAAATTCAGTTCAACTTCCTGATGATTATCATGAAATATGATCGAAATATTGGAGAAATAAAAATCAGTAAAATTAAAAATATTTGTTTTTTTTCTCTGACATCAAGCCAAATTATTATAATAAAAAAAATAAAATTTTTTTTAAAAAATCCACGTCTTGGCTGGGTCTTTAAAAAATCCTCGCCTCGAACAGACCTTGATTCTTGAAAAATTATTCTTTAAAAAGTTCACGCTATGAAAAAATATTCTTTAAAATTTCTACGTCTTAAAAAATTATTCTTTAAAAAATCTACGATGTTGAAAAAAAATCTTTAAAAATTCCCCCTAATTTAAATTTTCGGTTCTTTAGGTTTCAAAATGATGTTCTTTAATATTTTATATTTACCATTTTTAAGTAATTTATATTTTTGTTTGTTGTTGTTGTATTTTAATTACATTTACTTATAAACTTATATAGTAAGAGTGTACATACAGTGTTTGTGTGTTTAAAAAAAAGAGCAGAAAATTGGATATTTCGTTAGTTTTTCTACACATAAAACTAACAAATGAAAAGGGGGTATTTTAATAAAAAAAAATATGTGCTGCTTCCAAGAAATGTATAAAGGAATTCTCTTTGATGTGTATTTTGTTTTTTCTTGTCCTCTAATATAATATTTTTTGTGTCTCGTTTCCTTAACATTTCTACTTCTTTTTGCTATTTTTGCCATTCTGTTGTGGTGGTGGAGCATCATCTTCATCCTCTTCTTCTTCGTCAAGATCTTCCTCCTCGGCATTGCCCCATTCATCGACAAGGTCATGGACCAAGTGTTGCCCACAAATATAAACGGGACCTGTGCCCTGTGTCAATTTGAAAGTGACCGATTCACTGGGGAATTCTAGATTGGGCTTAAGGACACGAGTTTCACCAGCCTTGAGAACAGCAATGGGAATTTTGAGGGTTTCTTTGTCAGCGATTTTGACTTCAGCCTGAAAAAAGCGAAACAAACGAACATTTGTTTTGAAAAACCCGCCATAAATGTGTGAGGCAGCACAACATGTTTTGTCTCGTGCTTGCTCACTTACCTGTACAACATTGAATTCATCCTTGGCTTCGGCACCGAGACTGATTTGTTTAATAATCAATTTTTGATCTTGTAGAACTTTGTCGGTTTCGGCCACTTCGAATTGGGCCAAAGGGTCTTTTTCGCTTAATTCAACACCTAATGGATAAGAAGAAGAAAATAAAATTATTAATCTACAAGGTTATTTTTTCTGTATCAATTCACACAACATCAGCAGCAGGCATGCCGGCTTTAAATCAATCGGTCGGTCGTTGCCGTCGTCCACGACTCCGACATGTTTGATTAGAGTTTTAACGACAACTGTACCATACCAATCAACCGACAATCCAGCCAGCCAATTTTGCAAAAATCAATACAATGATATTTTCATTTTTTTCAGATTCCGATTACTTACCGAAGAAAGATTCTGTTTCCATTTTATTGTCTATTTAATTTGGGGTTTTGGAAATATTAAAAAGTATTTTTTATTTCGTGTAGTTTTCGGCGAAAATCGTCTTCTTTATTTTTAATTTTACAAAACGGTGTTTGTCACTCTACACGTGCCGCCTCGAATGAGTTGTGCCTCTCTTCAACAATCCAGCTAGGGCAGAGTAGCCGTATCGATGGAAAATTTCGAAAAAAACAAATGTGAAGCAACCTAAATGAAATGCGTCAGGCACTCTTCTGAGTGACTGTAATCGGAAATTGGCATATCGGCGGATAGATTCCCTTTTCACACTTGGAATTTTTTCTTTCAATAAGTCGAACTGTTGGGCATCTCTCGTAAATAGAAAATTTTATTAAAAATTGCAATGAAATAAATTAAAATTTTTGATAAATAAAAATTCTGCGGGGCCGAACTTTTTATACCTCCTCACCATGAGGATGACATTCAAAATAAATTACAGTAGGAAAAACTCATGTTATGATAGGACCTTGAAAATGCAACAAAAAGAGGAGGGATAAAGATGATTTAAATTCTCAAAATACCGAATAGTGGGCTAACGTTATAATGGACAACGGAAAAAGGGGATCGTTATTCATAATGAGATTTGGCAAAATACCCCAAAATAACGAAAACGGAAGTACCCTTATATGGGGGCAACCCTGAAACATGAATCACTATTAATAATTTTTGATAGTGAGATTTGACTCCAAATGAGAACCCAAACTACTAAATTACAGTCAATTTGGTTGAAAAATGTGTATAAAATTGCCAAAAAGCCGAATATTGGGGGTATCGTTAAATTGGGGATACTCAGAATCTTAGATGAATATTAATACATTTTGGTAAGGAAATGTGCTATACAATGAGAAAATGCCAAATTATAGCCCCTTAGTCCTGATTTAGATTAGACGAGTTTACTTGCGGCAATTCTTATCGTTCTCTTTTGTACTTGCTTCATGCGTCTATACAAGCCAAATCGGTTTCAAAAATATATATTTTTTTTTGGCATTTTGTGACAATGTTCTGGATTGGTATTTCAAATTACTGACACTACAAACAAAATGCACAAAACGAATTGCACAAAATTGCCGGTACGAGCAATTTTTTTCAATTTCTATTCCCCTTGCCCCTCTCTCCAGCAAACAAAGATTTGCCTCAAGTAAACTCCCCTAATCTAAATTGGGACTTAGCTGGCTCGAGCCAGAAGATTTGTTCCATAAGCCGAGTTCAAAAAAGATTTCCAGGCGCGTCGATCCTGTGCGCCACTCAATGATTTTTAATTTTAAAATTGAATAAATATGAGTACCATTTCGATATTTTGAGGTCCTTCTTCAGAAATCTCATTCCGGAGAAATGTGTCCATATTTTTGTTGAATATAAATAAAACAGTCTTTATGAAAAGATGATCGCATTGACCAATATTTCTTGAGCCACGTAAATGTATACCCTTACAGCAAAGGCTTTGTTCCAGAGCAAAAAATAATATTCTTTAATAGAAATTTATTCTGATTTTTTTCATTCAAATTTGAAAAAGTACATTAAAACATTTATAATTAGTACAAATTTTTTCATGTTCAGGAATAGGTAATTTCTGCAAACATAACCTTCAAAATAATAGACCAAATTGTACGCTTTCACATATCCATGCAACAATTATTTCCTCATGTAAATGCCGTCCTTAAATCCACCTTAACTAGTTTTGCTGTACTTCGAAGACAATTTATCGTTTGAGGTAAAAGTCGATCTAAGTATCCCTAACCCGGCGCCGGCTTGTTTCTTGCTTCTCGTTTAAACACAAAAAAAGAAATTGCCGATTTTCTGTGCAAATACACGAGTGAAGACGCGTGAATACCAGCCAACCTTAACTAAAATTAATCCAAAAGAATCCACAAAATCACAATGTCTGATGAATCATTCTATGGTAAATATTTGAAAATAGATTTTGGCCAATAAAATGGTATAAGTATTGGTAAAATTGATGGCGAATTTTCCATGTTATAAAGCATGCAAAAAATGGCGGTCATCTCGAGATTTTTCCATCAATTTCCAAAACTTGTTATATATGTTTTTCAATATTATGTGATTAAGAATAATTAAAATCCCCCCTTTTTTATAGGTGTCACTTTGAGCGGTGAAGGCAGCAAAGTTGAATGGGAAGTTTTGTCCAACGATGAAGATTTCCCCCGCGGTCAAAAATTAATCATCAGACAAATTCTTTTAGGTGCTGAAGCCAAAGAGGGTGAATTCAATGTTGTCGAGGTAAGCAAGCAAGCTAGACTTAGTTACATTTTCGGCGAAACGGGACAATGTTCCCGGACCAACCTTGACTAGATTTTTCGTTTGCTTTGCAAAGAATCCCCCCAAAAAACATGGTTAGGTTTACCTTACATGTTAAGAGTTGGTAATTTTTTCGATTGCATTTTCTTCTGTATATATTCTGTGTGTGTGTACCATCATTATTTAAAACACATGCCTGTACAAATGTACTGTAGGGCAGCAATAGCAACAACAATGTCGACGACAGAAAAAGCGTCATTAATATGTCTTCTCTATATCACTTTACTACCACCACCAACACCACCACTACTACCCATTTGAGGTTTGTTGCCGGTCGGTTTTCCGGCAGGAAGAAGGTAAACCGGGGAAATGATACATAAAATAAAAATTAGGAATATTAGTAATATATATATAGGATTAAAAATCACAATATAGTTTATTCATATATATATATATATATATATATAACAATGATTGGAGGGGTCCATCAATTATACATGTGCATAGTTCAAGGTCGCCGCTTAGATTACAGTGTTTAAAAATTATTTGTATACAAATTATTACGTGATATGACTGATTTACATGTCAACGAACCACCGCAGCATTCCCATAACCTAATTAAACGAATTTTAATTCTCAAGAGCCATCCGCTATGTTCTTGGATTTAAGGACAATAGGGAAAGCAAAATAAAGAATGAAAGTAAAACAATTTATAGCTATAGACTTAGATTTTCAGGCGCGTCGGACTTTTTCGCAATTTGAAAGACCATATTCGGCAATGTTGTCTTCCACTTGATTTTTCCATCTTATTCGTTGGCCAACACTAACCTTCTCCGAATTTAAAAACTGATGTCATTAGTTTTATTTATGGCAGTACCAAGATATATAAAATCTTTGACTACCTCAAGTTCTCAAGTTCCACAGTTGGTCCCAGTATATTGGACGTCTTGTACGCCGTTTACTGCCAGACCCACTTTGGCAGACTCCTTCCCAATTTGTTCAAAGGTGGCTGTTACAGCTCTCAATGTTCGACCCATTATGTCGATGTCGTCGGCGTAGGCGAGTAACATATGCTGTTTGGTGTACAGAGTGCCATTTCTGTTCACATTTGCATCTCGTATGACCTTTTCCAGCAGGGTGTTGAACAGGTCACACGACAAACTGTCACCTTGTCAGAATCCTCGTTCGATATTGAAGGGCTCCGAGAGGTCCTTTCCAACTTTAACTGCTGACATTGTACCCGTTAAAGTTATCCTTAATTTTGCAGGAATGCCAAACGCAGGCATGGCTTTAAACGCCTCTGAACGGATAGGGCTGTCGAATGCGGCTTTATAGTCGACGAATAGGTGGAATGTGTCAATGTGTTTTTCGTGTTTTTTTAAGTGGGCGGCAAGCCTTCGTTGATTTCCGTGGCCAAAAATCCAAATATCGCAAAATCAAAATGGAAGTACTGCAAGGCGGTGTCCAATCTCCCATTTTGTTCAACATGTATCTTGCGAAACTCCTCATTTCTCCTCCAGAAGTTTCAGTGGTGTCGTACGCCGTTGACTGTACGATTATTTTGTCCGGCGTTAACATTGACGACGTAAGTGTAAAATTTTCAACTATTTTGCCACTATCACCAACTTCTTCTGGAGCGCAATGTAAAATTATGCACTGCCAAGTATACCGTGTGTCTTTTCACTTTCTGGACGCGAGAAGTCACTTTATAGCTTGACATTTCCATTGAAGGTAGGCGCATCCCCACCTTCCATAATCGGAAAATACTTGAGGTGGTCTTCGATAACCTCCTTCAATTCTCCCATTCTACCTACATCAATCAGAAGGTGAAAAATATAAATAAAGTTCTGAAAGCTTTGGCTGACACCTTCCGGGGGAAAAGATAAAAAAACGTTGGTAAAAACTTGTTAGACCATAGGTTGTTCCATCTTTAATTATGCTGCCCCAGTCTGGACTTCTTTTCTTAGCGGCACACACAATGGAGATCCTTGCAAACAACACAAAATAATGCACTGCGAATTGCAACCGACTGTGTCCAGATGATGAGCGTCGTTCACCTACATGAGGAGACCATGATGCTGTCAGTCAAGTAACATGTGTTGTTGACTAGATAGTTCCCGCTAGCATGTTATCTGCCGTGTCATCCCAACCATTACACAGCGATGGCAGATTCACCTCCGCGACACATCCATCAGGACTAAAGGCGCTATCGTGATGGTATCCAAGACGTCATTCCTTCGAACGTCAACTACTTATCGATTACAACAATGTTCTCAATTCGTATCGAGAGTGAACATTTTTCAACTAAATTGACTGTAATCATTGGGTAGAAATCCCTATATTTTTTATATATTGGCTCATGTTTAAGGAAAGAAATTTCTGTAAAGATCTATATTCCAGCCTGAATGTAGTTTGGTATTGTCTTTTCTCCTGTCAGCAATTAACCATGACATAGCCACCTTATAGATGTCCCAAAAGATTTGTGGTGTATTGAATTGTTACCTGTCTAACGGTGAAGGGTATAATAAGTTCGGCCTAACTTGACGACGTTTTTACTAGCTTTATTAATATACAGTTAAAATAATGGTGGCGCCAAATTACTGAAACATAGGTATCAATTTCCACGAAAAATATTGTTTACTGTTTTTTTGTGTGTGTTTCAAATACTGTCTATCAATTGCAAAAATAGACGTTTCTATTTAAACTAATTTTTGTACTTGATAATAGGCAATTGTGAAGATAATCAGAAAAGTACATTTTTGTTGTCATTGCCACTAACGTGTGTTTTGAAGTACATCATTAAATTTGAACATTACTACTTGTTGTCACATGTTTCTCAAAAATGTGGCGTTATTACGTCATGACAGCTGTGATTTTTTTGTAACCAAATAAATTAAGAATAACAACAAATAAAGGACTATCTAAAAACATTAAAACAATTGTCTATGTGATTACAAATCATAATGGAAATCGAACAAAAAACACACATATTACACTTTTAATTGACAAGTGGCTGTGATAAATAATGTTCTATAGTTTGTTGATGATATATATTTAAAGATTAGATATTTATAAACAATATACAAAATCATATTTTTTATTTTATTGGTTCATTTTTTATAATTTGTATTATTTAAATTATGTCTTGTTATTTTTCAATTTAAATTTATTGTCGTTGTTGCTTAATATTGTTTTTATATTATATTTATATTTTAATTAAAATAATTCTGGTTTTATTAATATAATTTATTAAAAAAAATAATATATATTTTAAAAGCTTCTTTATCTCACTACCTTGAATTTTCTAATAAAAGTTTATTTTAAATGTTCATTAGTTTTTTAGTTAAATTATTCTATTGTGTTTTTAACGATTATAAAAATCCTTGTTTACAGGCAATTTGTTTTTCATGCTGATTTGATTATGGTATGAGAAAAATTTCTCGGTCTATCTATATATATTTTAAAAGCATTTTTCTAGAGTATTGGAATTTTGAAACCTATCTATGAGCGCGGAATTAAAAAATATATATTTTTATGGTTCTTGAATGGTAGCTCATAGAGCGTAGAGGTATAGAGCTTTGGAAATGTTCACATACATTGCTACTTCTCCTAGGATGATTGGTATTGAAACTGTGACGTTATTATATTCTATACTTTGGGCAGGTTTTTCCAACGAGTTTTTTGATATTTGTTATAGTTTATGTTTAAATATTCCTTTCATTATCCCTTCATTTTTTTCATAACATATATTTTCAAGGTCTGTCTACACACGTGTATTTTATATTTTTGAAGGTCCTCCATTACACTTAATTTTTATTTCAATTAATAAAACTTTTTATTATTTTAAGGTCCTCTTAATTACATTTATTTTTTTTTTAATTAATGAAACTTATAAAAATATTTAATAATTTAAAATCGTTTTATTTTTAATTTATTTATTTGTTATTATAACATACTTTGTTGTTAACAGTCTTTTTCTTTTTGTCGTTTTTTTTACATAACAATAACAACATGATTGAAGGAACATTTTAAACAATGTGTGCTACTTACATACATAAATATATATACACAAAATACAACATATTAACATTACATGAAAACTAAAAAAAGGATAGAAGAAAATGGGGTAGGAGGAAAAACAAAACTGTAACAATGTGTGTGTGCTAGTTGGTCAACAACTACAACAATACACTTAAATTTATAAAATTTAAATTTATAAATCTTCATTGGCATTATTTTCCAATTGTAACATCGTTGTTTGTTGTTCTTCTTGTTGCTTAACGTCCGCCACAACATCCTCTAGTGATTTACTAAATTTAAACATTGTACGTTCTTTCGGGTGTAGACGGCAAACCACACCGGCAGCCTCATAATTCCAATTCCAGCAAATTAACTGGCAGCCCAACATTCCCAGATCTTCTTTGAGAGAGATAATGTTCTAGGAAGAGGGAAAGAGAGGATAAAATTTAAATAATTAATGCATCATGATGTCTATGACTTACCATGGCCACTGTGGAATCAATATTAGTAATTTCATCACCCTTGACAATAACCATTTTAACAACACCATCTCCTTGTGTGGCAACAAATTTAATCAATTTCGATTTCAAATATTCGGCCGATGAATAGCATAGATTTTCCTTAACCTGTACAATGCCCACTGCCAAACCATTGATCTTCTCCAAATCAATTTGAATTTGTGGCCTTGCACTTTTGTACAAAATAAACACGGCATTGACAGCAATACCACAAACCATACCATATTCCAAACTCCAGAAGAGACATACAGCGGAGGTAACCGCCAGTGGGATTACATCGATTTCTAGAATAAAAATGATATGTTAATTTTCATTTTTAAATATTTCTTTTCTTCAAGCTTCTTACTTTTAGATTTCCAAATCTCAATAATGCGTTCATATTCCACCATAAATATCATGGCCGATATAATAATGGCAGATAGTGTGGCCTTGGGAATATATGAAAATGTTGTTGTCAAAAAGGCCAAAGCCAATAGGACCAAGGCACCGGTGAAGGCACCACCCATTGTGGTCTTTACACCACTTGAATGATTGATGGAAGTACGGGTGAAGGAACCCGTAATGGGCATAGATGAAAAGAAGCTACTCAAAATATTAGACAGGCCCAAGGCAATCATTTCCTGGGAGGCATCAACAATTTTTCCTTTGGCTGTAAGAAAAAATTTAAAGAAAGAAATAGTTGAAGTTTAGACATAGAAAGTTCCAGTCCGCCGATGATAAGGAAAATGTCCTTCGAATCGTACTAATTCGGGGGTCTAACTACCAAACTCCCTTGACATTAGTTTATATTTCGTAAGTCTATTTCAGTTCTAGTTCTTACATAATTTAATAATTTCTCTTTATATTTATACTTACAAAACGCCTTGGCAATGGCGATACTTTCCAATATCGATATCAGTGGTATCGATGCCAATGATGCACCCAACTCGCCAATCATTTCACCAAATCCCACTGTTGTACCATTCGTTGTCACACTGAAGGGGGGTAATTTAAATTCGGGAATACCTTGGGTTATCTCACCACTGGCCGCAAATGGCAGTTTACCATCTTTTTTTAAACAAAAACACAGCACAATGCCAATAATGACAGCGAAGGCGTTACGCGATAGAGAAATATATTTTGAGAGGGTTTTCATGGAACATGGCAGATCTTTGACTTTCTGGAAGGAGGGTAACAAATTATAAATAAATAATATTTATCATTTAATAAAAAATTATCAATTAATTATCGGTTGATAATCGTTGCGAAACCCCCCAAAATACGAAATTCCGGAGGTACCATTATATTTTGGGGCTACCCTTAAAAGTGCTCCAAGATCGATAATTTTTGGTAGACAGAAAAGGTTCCCCCAACCGCCAAATTCCCAAATTTGGCGGGTGGGCACTATCCCAAACATTGGACCAATATTGATAATTTTTGATAATATTTCACACACACACTTACCCTCATCAGCAACAGCACCACCAAAGTAATCACACCCAATAGAGAATCATTTAGTTTTGCCTCACCAATGTGGGTAAAGAAATTTTCCCATGATTCCAAAAATTCATTTGAGGGACCTGCAAATTTTTTCCGTAACAAATAAATTTTAAATTAATTAAAAAAATATCGCTTGACTTACTTTTAATGCCAAATAAATTATTAATTTGACCACTGGCTATCGTAATGGCAGCTGCTGTTGTAAAACCCGTCGTAACCGGTACCGAAATAAATCTCACCAAAACACCAAGATTTAAAATACCCAATAGTAAAATAATACAACCAGAAATGAAGCAAAGCAGGACAGCATAATCAGCACTGCCGGTGACATGGGTTTGCACCATCAAGGCCATAATGGCTGTGGGGCCTGTGGGAAGCATTTTTTATTCTTAAATATTTGTTTTTTTAATAGATTTTTTTTTCTACTCACCCACTGTAATATCCTTACAGGTACCAAAGACAATATAAACAAAACATCCCATAAATGCCGAATATAAACCATATTGTGTTGGTAATCCCGCCACCGAGGCATAAGCTATCGCCTGTGGTATGGTTGTAAGACCCACGGTCAAACCCGCCACAAAATCCGCTATCAAAAAATTAAATGTATATTTTGGCAACCAATCTAAAATTGGTAGGAACTTTTTCACCGTCGCTGTTGAGCAACATTGTTTGCTGCGATTTTTTGCAATACGTCCAATGTTTGGAAGGTTTTCATGATATAGTTTTGCTGCGAGTGTGAATGAATGAATACAAACGAAATAAGATTATTAATAATAGGAAAAATTAGGGTATTAATTAAAAATTAATTATAGAATTTACACATGAGTTGAATATTTTTGTTTTTTTTTTATTAATAATTATTTTATTTCATTTTTTTTTGCCTATCAAATGACGATGATTAAAAATAAATATTTACATATCCCCGCAACGATGATTGATCTGAATTTTCTTATCACCATATAATGTAAGCTGCCTTAATTTCAAATAACTCCATTCTTTGGTGTAGGTTTTTAGAAATTTAGTTTTTCTTTATTTTTAACCTCTTATTCTTATTATTTTTTGGTTCAAGTCATTGTCCCCTTTTTTACATATTCATACATATTTGTATATTGCGCTGTTTTTTTCTTCACCCCACAAATTCCCATATATAACAGAAGGTTCATTGAGTTTTTCCCCTGCTACAACATGTGTATGACCGCATAACCTCACTTCTTGTTTTGTTTGTTTTTGATAATACAAAATACATACATACTGTTTTTGGTAAATATTTGTTATAAACTAATAATAGGAAGTAGCTATGGCATATTAAATACTTGATGATTTGGGTTTTAGGAGTGAGGTATTACATCTTTTATTTTTGTGATAGATAAGGGGCAGTGGGATATTTTAAAAGAAACAGTCAGTTATGGAAAGCGGGTCATTTTGATGATATTTTAAGTACCAACCAATTTGGTAAAAAACATGCCCGTCCTCCCCAAAATAACGAAATTCGGAAGGTATTCTTATATGGAGACTATCCTAAAAAGTGGACCAATTTTGATAATATTGGGTAGAAAGATTTACTAACCAACGAGAGTACAAAATACCAAATTATAGGCAATTCGATTAATAATCGTTGCCAAACTCCCCGAAATAACGAAATTCGGAAGGTACCCCTAAAAAGTGAACCAATTTTGTGATAAAATTTGGTAGGAAGATTTACTAAATAACGAGAACTCAGAATACCAAATTAGAGAAAATTCGGTTGAAACCCGTGTCATCCTCCCCAAAATAACGAAATTCGGAATGCAACTTTATATGGGGACTACTCTAAAAAATTAACCAATATCGATGAATTTTGGTATGAAGATTTCCTATGCAATCAGAACCGAAAATACCAAATTATAACCAATTTGGTTGAAAAAAGTGTCTGTCCTCCCCGAAATAACGAAATTCGGGAAGTACCTTTATATGGGGATTACCATAAAAAGTGAACCAATATCGATTATTTTTGGTAGAAAAATTTACTAACCACCGAGAACCCAAAATGTGGTTAAAAAAGTTCCTGTCCTTCGCAAAATTACGAAATTCAGGAGGTACCTTTATATGGGGGCTTTCCTAAAAAGTGGACTAAAATCGATCATTAAAATTAATTTTTTTTAAATTATTTCTTCTAGGTTTATCGAGTGTAGATTTGTTTAAGAAATATTTTTTCTAGGTGTCTACCAAAAGGGTAGATTTTTAATAGATTTTTTAAATTTTTATCCATTTAAATAATTTTCAATTAAATTTAAATTTTTCTCCTGAAGTGTATTTTTGTTTTACTTTTCTTATTTTAAGCTTTTAAATTTGGTTTTGTCACATTGTTGTTGTTGTAAAGCGCGTTAATTGTTTTGTCAAATAATGAGATGCACTCAAAATAATACACGCACACGTTACGCTTATTATCACTACCGGCAGACTTGTGGCATTTCTTATTCAAAAAAGAGTGCTGATTGTGCTGATGCGATGTTGTCGTCAGAGTTGACAACAGGTTTCAGTTTTAATTTTTTTTTACATTTCACTTGGAATATGGAAAACAAAAATGCTAACAACGAAATTTCTTCTCACTTGCGGTCTGTCAAAGGTTATCACTTTGAAATCAAAACAAAATTAAAATCACACAAATATTTTTTTTATTAAATTCATGATTAGTCTTCCTTCCGGCTATCCATTAAAAGGCGGCATGACATTGTGGCCCTGAGAACTACTATTTGAAAATATTTTACAAATTATTTCAATAATTAAAACTAACATGCAGCACACTATTTACAATTCAAATCGCATTTTTATGCCGCCGACCCCTCTATGTAAGCTCCAACCACTTGTTGTTGTGTGGGTTTGTTTTAATATTTCACATGATTATTACAAAAAGATTTAGATTTAATTTGTACGCGAAATTAAAACACAATTATTTTTTTTTTAATTTTAAATATAACAACTTATTAAAAATTATTTAATTTTTTTGCACACCTTCAATATCATCTGCCATTTTATTATTTTGATATAGAAAACAATCTTTTTCGTCCAGTTTGAAAACTGTGTGAAAACTCTCAGAGCAGTCCAGACCGACCGTAAACTTCTGCGTTGCGTTCTGTAACGCTTTAAAAAAACGAATGAATGAATAAATTTTCTGGTGATCCGTTGTCACTTTCGGTCTGGTGGCTATCTCTGTGACTGGTTGATTGGTTGGGGGAAGTAATGTTGCTGCTTATGTTGTTACTTTTTTTGTGTTTAGAGTTAACGTGTGCCACCGGACATTTGATTGCCTGCCTGGCCTAGCTGGAGAATATATAGATTACCACAACACAACACAACAAAACAATTCATTTTCTTAAGAGCAATCACTGATATCTTTTCGACAAGCCCACAAGTCGTCAAATCACCTATATAGTCTTGGCTCTCTCGATCCTCCATTATCACAATGTTCATCAAGCTCTGTAGGAAACGTCACTTTATTTTTTTTTGATAGCAACATTTGTTTGTTATTATTGTTGTGGTGTTATAATTTTTTGACTTCTGCAATTGATCAATAATTGCTGTCTTATTTTTTTTGTTTCTTAGTAATGAATGATAAGAATTGATTATTGGTACGAATTTTTATATTCACAGTTTATATGATGATTAGTCGGCGCCAACAGGCAGGTCTGTGTTAAGTGAATTTCGGCAAGTGGAAAATTTTTGAAAGACCAAAATCTATCCTCGTGGGAAAAATAAAATAATTTATGATATAAATAAGCACCAAGAGATCGTGGATTTATAAATGATATTTTTGAAGGCAAAAAATGTTTTTGAATGATGCGAAGATTTCTTTAATTTTTTGAGGTTATAAATATCGATTTCTCGATTTTTTAGGAATATTTTTATTAGGAACTTAGAGCGTCGATTGTGTTACAGAATTTGGAAGGACTTTCAAATAGGGTATTTTTTAAGGATATATTTTGGAAGGATGTTTTAATGATATTTAGATAAACTATTACAGAGTCGATTTTTCAAGGCCTACTATATAGCTTGAGTTGTTAAAGACTCTGTCAGTCCTCGTAAAAAACATGTTTTGCTAAACAATATTTTTTAAAGGTTTTTATTTCAATTTTTTTTAAGTTTTTTTTAATATTTTTTTAAATAATTTTTTTAAGTGTATTTTTTAAATATTTTTTTTATAAATTTATAAGATTTTTAAAAATATTTATTTAAAGAACAATGAACATGTTTTCTTAAACAATATTTACTAAAGATTTGTTTTTCATATTTTTTAAAGTTTTTTTTTAATATTTTAATTTTGCCAAGGCCCTAACGTGTGGATTTTTATAGAATACTAGCATATGCCTGCAACTTCGTTAGCGAATGTAGGAAATAATTAAACATGTATTAACATATTATTTTATTTTCACAGCAAACTGCATATGTCAGAAAAATCAAATTAAATTTGAGTACCATTTAGTACCAAATGTCATGATTCGAGCTCTAAAGGTTCACCCAAATCCAAATTTTCCATTTAGCATATATTATTTCCCTAAGGTACCCTCTTCAACTATCCAACAAAACTTAATGCATATCCCGATCCTACACCCCCACAATGATTCCAAATTCAAATTTCAAGATTCCAACTCTATTGGTTCACCCACAAATTAAATTGTACCAAATTTAGTACACAGTAGAACGACTTTTCAAAATGTTCTACATACCCCAATCCTACACCCCGATAGTGATTCTAAATTCAAGTTTTAGGATTCTAACTCCATAGGTTCACCCACAATTCAAATTGTACCAAATCTTGTACACAGTAGTACCAATTACAAAACTTCCTATATACCCCAATCCTACACCACCCTAGTTTCAGGATTCTAACTCTATCGGTTCACCCACAATTCAAATTGTACCAAATTTAGTACACAGTAGTACTTATTTCTAAAACCTCCTTCCTACCTCAATCCTACACCCCCACTGTGATCCTTAATCCAAGTTTGAGGATTCCAACACTATCGGCTCACCCACAATTCAAATTGTACCAAATTTAGTACACAGTAGTACGAATTTCCAAAACTTCATACATACCTCAATTCTACACATCCACAGTGATCCTAAATCAACATTTCATGATTTCAACTCTATCGCTTTACCCAAAATTTAAATTGTACCAAATTCTGAAACTTCCTACATATTTCAATCTTATACCTCCGCAGTGATCCTGACTCCAATTTTAATTCTAGCTATATTGGTTCGCCTAAAATTCAAATTGTACCAAATTTAGTACCATTTAGTAGTACCCAAAAGTATTAATTTGTTAAACTGAATCCCGACTCTAATCCTATATTCCTACAACGATTCTAACTCTAAATTTCATTGTTCCAGCTCTATCGGTTCACCCAAATCCAAATTGTACCAATTATAGTACGATTTAGTACTTTTCGTACACATAAGTAAAAATGCTTCAAAACTACGTGCATATCCCAATTCGATGGTAATGTTATTTTCAATTTTGAGGATTCCAGCTCGATTTGTACCTTTAAATCAAATTTGTACCAAATATAGTACCTTCCGTACACATGAGTACACGCTTTCCAAACTCTCCGACTGTCTGGCCGGATTGTGCGCCCAATAACTCTAGAAGAGTATAAGCGATTTCTTCTTTCAAACATTGCACATCGTAATATTTCTTAAAAACTTAAGTACTCTTCAAGCTCCTTCTTATACCTCCTCCACTAAATGGTCAATATTTTGCTTGTAAATTTATTTATATCATATGAACGCGAATTTTTTGATTTGAACTAAACTTTGTACAAGCCAATATTTTAACCATGTATATATAATATTGGAACATGGGACCAATCGGTCCACTCCTCCTAATACCTCGCCCACAAAGAGTCATATCTGTCGACAACACCGACTGACACTTTTTTGCTTGTTAAAGTCCAAAAAGCATGAAATTTGTAAGGTTCCAAGAGTGAATAATATTTCAGACGTTCAACAAATATTTTTTAATGAATAATATTTCAGACGCTCAACAAATATTTTCTTTCAATACCACCACAAATCCTGGATTTTCTAAAAGAATTTTGTTTTTTGGGTCTCAAAGCTTGGAGTTTTTGAAAATATATCAACCCTCTTTTTATTAAATACTATTTCAAGACGCAATAAATGGTAAAATAAAAGTCATTCTTCTGTGGCCCAACTTTTGGCCTTTCCAAAAAGATTATATTTTCAAGATGCATTTTTTTAATATATTATCAATTATTATTATCCAATTCTTTTTTTCAGAGTCTGTGGAGACATATGTTTCCTAATGAAGCTATTTTCAGGATCTATGGATTTGTAGATTTGTCATTTTATCATTTCTTTGCTTCCCATCCAGTTTTACTTATTTACCTTTCACTGTACACAATTCTTCAAGCCAACAAGAATTGAATGTGCATTTACGCCGCGTTCCATTTTCTGTGACATGTTTTTTGTTTTTGGGAAGTTTATACCCGTAAAGCCCAAATAGCGATCACAGGTTTAACTTTTTTCTACACGTGAAGGGGGGAAGGCTTATCTATTTCTTGGCATCGTACAACACAACACCATCCGCCGTTTGTGGTTCATTGTTCAATTGGTTTAAAATGTTGTTTTTTGATGATAATAAAATATTTTCGGGGTTTTTGTTGTTACTGGAATACCAGATATTTTTATGTCATCAATAGGGGTGAATGAAAAAAAAGAATAAAACAAACGGATTTGTTGTTTAATTGTCAATGTACGACGTTGCCGTCGTCGTTTTTTTTTTTTTTTTTGAAGTTCTATAAACCACCAAACAAAAGCAACAAGTCATTATCAATGTTTTAGAACTCGAAAAAACGGTTATTTCACGGAATGGAAAATTACCATTTTTTGGCGAATATTTTCAGATGAAATGGAAATTTTCCATTTCGGTGAATGGAATTTTTTTGGATATTTAAATGATGTAAATATTATTATTCACAAAGGATTTCTATTTAAATCAGTGAATAAAATGGGAGAAAAAATATTGCTTAAAGGGACTAAAAAATAACCTTCAAAATCTTGTATGGAAAATTTGAAAATTGAAATTCAGTAGAAAAATTAAATATATAAAAATATTTTCTTTTGTTCCAAGAATTATTTTTTGGGATTTTTTTTTATTTATTTCAGCTTTTTTTATTAGTGATACATATATAAAGAGCTAGATTTTTTTTTCAATTCATTTTATTGTGGAATTTTGAATTGTACTGATTTCTTAAAAATGATTTGCAATGGAATTTTTCCAAACGGTGGGATTTTATTTATTATAAAAAAAACAACAACCAATAGATTGGCAATTATAAGCAATAGAAAATAAAAATCACCAAAGTTCGATTTTTTATTTGTGCTAATTTCTGAAATCACATTTTACAATTTGTGTTCTTTTTTTTTAAGATATTCTTATTTTTTATATCTCAAAATTCATGGAACTGAGTTGGGTTGGGATATATAACAATATTTACTTCCAAGAATTATATTTTTTGGATTTTTTTCTAATTCAATTTATTATTTTATTCATTTTTACTGTCTCCAAGAAAATTGATACATTTCTATGTAGTGTTTGAATTCCTCGAAAATAATAAAGATTAATCGATATTTGTTGCCAAAATTATATGTTAATGTTTCTTTAACATTTCCCCTATATATTTATTTTAATTGGCCGTGAATTGATTTTTTTCATTTAGAAATAATATTTGTTTTAATTTAAGCATGACTTAATCATTGATGAGCAATACTTACATACTCCTAAAAGTATGCAATATAATTTGTTATAGGCAATCGTGAACGTTTACCCCAAATCTTATTAGAATATTTTTATATTGACTAGTAAAGCCTAGATTTTTTCAAACTCTCTTTTTTATTCGTGTTTTTTTAAAGAATGTTTTTTTTCAGGCGTGGTTTTTTTTAAAGAATATTTTTTCAGGGTCTATACAAGTTGTGGCTTTTTAAAGAATATTTTTCAGGGTCTATACAAGTTGTGGCTTTTTAAAGAATATTTTTTCAGGGCCTATACAAGCCGTGGTTTTTAAAAGAATAATTTTTCAGGGCCTATACAAGGCGTGGTATTTTTTTAAGAATATTTTTTCAGATCTATACAAGGCGTGGCTTTTTATATAAAACAAAAAAGGATTTCTTATGAAAGACAAAAAATTCGTCATACAGAATACCCAAAGGTCTTCTCACAGAATTTCAAAAGGTTTCCCTACATAGAAGACTAAAATGTCATATAGATATATAAAATGGGGCAATCTCCTGTGAATTCGACGTCAACATTTTTGTTTTCGAAATTGTTTTTCCAAAACACATCGCTGTTTGGGCCCCACCTACCAGCCATAATCATAAATTTATATCGTATAAGAGATATATATTTTTTTCAGAATAACCCCTCAAATCAGAAATCTTAAAAAAAATCCACTTAGTCATGCTAATTATTTCTTATAACTCACCTTCTAAACAATTAATAACATTTTTTGTTTTCTTCAAAACAAAACATTTTTTTCCTTTCATTTTTTTCAAAATTGGGGGTATTCTCTATGCTTATCACTGGGCCATAAAACACGTCTAAGGTGATTGGACTCTTCCACTTTAAAAAGAGATTTCCACCATAAAACATCATAAACCCCCTCCAGAGACATATGAAAATGTTTGGATTAGTTATTACCCCTCCCCCCACACACAGCCCCTTCCAAACACTATTTACACATCAAAAGAAAAAAAACTATCACACACCCGAACCAATGGGTATATTATACATCGAGCTGAGAAGTCGGTCGTCTTCTCACCCCCTAAAAATTGTGTTTTGGGGTGACAGTGCAGAAAACACTTGATGTCGACGACGACACAGCGCCTATGTGGATACCTTATCTCTGGAGTACACAAACAAAAAAATGTTGCTGTTCCATATATTTTTGTTTTTGTTGGTGGTGGTTGCTGGTTGTTCACTTGAAAAGCCAATAAATGGCAAATTGTTTTATAATTTTTGTCTGAGGATTTGTTTGCTCTTTTATTGCATCCAATTCATTTTGATTTATATGCGGTACTTTTTTTGCTGATTGTTATCTGCCACTAATAAATAATTTGTATTCGAGATCGATTGCTGAATTTTTTATTAGTTATATTGATTTTCTTTTTCCATTCCATTACAGGTACACACTGTTAAAGACAATTTGAAAATTCCCATTGCCGTTTTGAAAGCTGGTGAAACTCGTGCCGTCAATCCGGATATTGAATTCTATGAAACATCTGCCACCTTCACATTGATCAAGGGCAACGGTCCCGTCTACATTCATGGCCAAAACATTAAAGACGAGGTGGAGGTTGTCGACATGGACGACGATGAGTCGGACGAAGAAGATGACGGTGAGGAGGAAGAGGATGAGGCACAACCCCAAAAGAAGAAGCAAAAAGTAGAGAATAATGCCGATGGCAAAAATGCCAAAAACAAGAAGAAATAAATTCTGATTGGAATACCCTAAACTACCTCCCACTTTGTTCTTTTTTATATATAACGTAACAACAAACATATAGATAACCGATTTATATAAAAAAGATGATAAATATATATATAGAACCAACACACTCCTCTTCCCCAGAAAACAAAATGAGGGTGGGGACAATATCCTATCCCTCCTTTAGTAACACACCACAAATTAAGTAACACTAATTTTAAGTAGAATGTGGATCCAAAGCCAGCTCAAAACTGACCTGACCACCCACTTGTTCCCCCCACTATTCATGGATTTCATATCAAAACCCAAAAGACCATTAAAATTAAATTTAAAAATTCAACATGTGAACATGGTGGGTGGTGAAGTTTGACTTTTTTGGATTCCAGTTTCTTGGTTCCTGGTTTTTAAAAGAAAAACTCTATTTTTTAATGGCTCTATACAAGGCGTGGATTTTTTAAGGAATATTTTTTAATGGCTCTATACAAGGCGTGGATTTTTTAAGGAATATTTTTTAATGGCTCTATACAAGGCGTGGATTTTTTAAGGAATATTTTTTAATGGCTCTATACAAGGCGTGGATTTTTTAAGGAATATTTTTTAATGGCTCTATACAAGGCGTGGATTTTTTAAGGAATATTTTTTAATGGCTCTATATATTTTTTAATTGCTCTATACAAGGCGTGGATTTTTTAAGGAATATTTATACCCTTCAGACAGGGTATTATGTCTTTGTGCATATGTTTGTAACAGGCAAAAGGAAACGAGATAGACACATGGTTCCTTTTGATATGCATAGAACCACTTTTTAAGTCGATTTATGCATGTCCGTCCGTCCGTCCGTCCGTCTGTCCGTCTGTCCGTCTGTCCGTCTGTCTGTCCATGTTAAATTGTAAACAAAGTACAGGTCGCATTTATGATCCGAATTGGATGAAATTTGGCATAGGTCACTTATTCGGCCTAAGGACGAACCCTATTGAAATTGGGAAAAATCGGTTCAGATTTAGATATAGCTCCCATATATATATTTAACCGATTTAATGTAAACGGTCCCTATATATCTTTCGATTTGCACGAAATTTGGTACAGCCTAATCATTTACGTCTAGAATAATGTCTGCCAAGTTTCATGAAAATCGGTCCAGATTTAGATATAGCTCCCATATATAGTTTCGTCCGATTTCATGTAAATGGTGCACCAAAGTCCACATATGTCTTTCGATTTGCACGAAATTTGGTACAGCCTAATCATTTAGGTCTAGAATGATGTCTGCCAAGTTTCATGAAAATCGGTCCAGATTTAGATATAGCTCCCATATATAGTTTCGTCCGATTTCATGTAAATGGTGCACCAAAGTCCACATATATCTTTCGATTTGCACGAAATTTGGTACAGCCTAATCATTTAGGTCTAGAATGATGTCTGCCAAGTTTCGTGAAAATCGGTTCAGATTTAGATATAGCTCGCATATATAGTTTCGTCCGATTTCATGTAAATGGTGCATCAAAAGTCCCTATATATCTTTCGATTTGCACCAATTTTGGCATAACGTACTGAATTGAGCCTAGAATTATGTCTGCCATGTTTCGTGAAAATCGGTCCTGATTTAGATATAGCTCCCATATATAGTTTCGTCCGATTTCAAGTAAATGGTGCACCAAAGTCCCTATATATCTTTCGATTTGCACCAATTTTGGCATAACGTACTGAATTGAGCCTAGAATTATGTCTGCCAAGTTTCGTGAAAATCGGTTCAGATTTAGATATAGCTCCCATATATAGTTTCGTCCGATTTCATGTAAATGGTGCACCAAAATCCCTATATATCTTTCGATTTGCACCAATTTTGGCATAACGTACTGAATTAAGCCTAGAATTATGTCTGCCAAGTTTTAAGAAAATCGGTTCAGATTTAGATATACCTCCCATATATAGTTTCGTCCGATTTCATGTAAATGGTGCCCCAAAGTACCTATATATCTTTCGATTTGTACGAAATTTGGCTTAACGTACTGAATTGTTCCTAGAGTGATGTCTGCCGAGTTTTGAGAAAATCGGTTCAGATTTATATATACCTGCCATATATAGTTTCCTCCGATTTGATGTAAATGGTGCCCCAAAGTCCCTATATATCTTTCGATTTGCACGAAATTTGACATATCGTACTGAATTAAGCCTAGAGTGATGTCTGCCAAGTTTCGTGAAAATCGGTCCTGATTTAGATATAGCTCCCATATATAGTTTCGTCCGATTTCATGTAAATGGTGCCCCAAAGTCCCTATATATCTTTCGATTTGCACGAAATTTGGCATAACGTACTGAATTGAGCCTAGAGTGATGTCTCTCTGTCTGTCTGATGTTCGTCCGATTTCATGTAAATGGTGCCCCAAAGTTCCTATATATCTTTCGATTTGCACGAAATTTGGCATAACGTACTGAATTGAGCCTAGAATTATGTCTGCCAAGTTTCGTGAAAATCGGTTCAGATTTAGATATAGCTCCCATATATAGTTTCGTCCGATTTCATGTAAATGGTGCACCAAAGTCCCTATATATCTTTCGATTTGCACCAATTTTGGCATAACGTACTGAATTGAGCCTAGAATTATGTCTGCCAAGTTTTAAGAAAATCGGTTCAGATTTAGATATACCTCCCATATATAGTTTCGTCCGATTTCATGTAAATGGTGCCCCAATGTACCTATATATCTTTCGATTTGCACGAAATTTAGCATAACGTACTGAATTGTTCCTAGAGTGATGTCTGCCGAGTTTTGAGAAAATCGGTTCAGATTTATATATACCTGCCATATATAGTTTCCTCCGATTTGATGTAAATGGTGCCCCAAAGTCCCTATATATCTTTCGATTTGCACGAAATTTGGCATATCGTACTGAATTAAGCCTAGAGTGATGTCTTCCAAGTTTCGTGAAAATCGGTCCTGATTTAGATATAGCTCCCATATATAGTTTCGTCCGATTTCATGTAAATGGTGCCCCAAAGTCCCTATATATCTTTCGATTTGCACGAAATTTGGCATAACGTACTGAATTGAGCCTAGAGTGATGTCTCTCTGTCTGTCTGATGTTCGTCCGATTTCATGTAAATGGTGCCCCAAAGTTCCTATATATCTTTCGATTTGCACGAAATTTGGCATAACGTACTGAATTGAGCCTAGAATTATGTCTGCCAAGTTTCGTGAAAATCGGTTCAGATTTAGATATAGCTCCCATATATAGTTTCGTCCGATTTCATGTAAATGGTGCACCAAAGTCCCTATATATCTTTCGATTTGCACCAATTTTGGCATAACGTACTGAATTGAGCCTAGAATTATGTCTGCCAAGTTTTAAGAAAATCGGTTCAGATTTAGATATACCTCCCATATATAGTTTCGTCCGATTTCATGTAAATGGTGCCCCAATGTACCTATATATCTTTCGATTTGCACGAAATTTTGCATAACGTACTGAATTGTTCCTAGAGTGATGTCTGCCGAGTTTTGAGAAAATCGGTTCAGATTTATATATACCTGCCATATATAGTTTCCTCCGATTTGATGTAAATGGTGCCCCAAAGTCCCTATATATCTTTCGATTTGCACGAAATTTGGCATATCGTACTGAATTAAGCCTAGAGTGATGTCTTCC